TAAGCACTGAGGATGAAGGAAGAATAATTAGCATAAAATCATGGTCTAGGATCTCCTGTCGATCACTAGTGACCATAAAATGATTCGTTTATTTAGATATGTACAGAATTTGGAAAATAACCTATAAGCCGAAAAACATGATCATAAAACAATAGTAACTGATCAATTTAAAAATGACAAATATTATCAGTTTCCGCGTCAATTGTTGTTTTCGCTTTATTCAAGATCATAATAATCCACTTCCTTTTCGATATGTGGAACAATCGATAATTTATTAATCTTATACAAATAAATTCAGTAAAATGTGAATGGAAGTCACATTATCATGGTAATAAAGAATAAAGGGTGGGAAAATGATCACATGACTGTTCAACAGTAAATGAATAATTGAATCACTAATTTGAGAGAAATTCCGTTTCTTCTTCACTTTTAAGCTAATACATATATAATTCCGTTTATTAAATGAAAATAACAATTCTGTCAAACGTGAAAGCAAGATGTTAACTCTAATCACCTATTACACAGTACATATTATTGTCTTAACTGACTACTAGGTCTATTATTCATGTTACTTGTTGCATTCTATAACGTGGAACGTTTACTATGTAAACAGTCATGACACTCTACACTTGCTTAATACAATAAGGAAAATGAACACTATTTTAGTCCCCCCCCCCAAATATATATATATATATATATATTTTATGTATGGTCCATCTTTCAACTCATATCGACTATTAATGAGAACTTCTTTCAAGCTTTACAAGAACTCAAACAGCCTAGCATAATTCTGTGTTACAGAATTATACCTATCATATGGTCCATACATATTGTGGCAATTAAACATGTTTAAGTAACAATAAGGAAATCAGTACTTTTTCCAGCAGCTATACATTTTTTTAGTGATATTGATCAAGTAAATCATCCAACTGTGTGAAATAAATAAACAAAAGTGGGAAATCAACAATCAGGAAATTCCATTCAGTCAAAATCTTTTGGACTATATGTTACAAATGTTGTCTTCCATTACATATATCTATATAATTATGTAATGTTACCGTCCTATAAAAATAGAAAGTACAATATGTAAAATGGTCATAAGTGTGTTTGTATATATATACACAAGTGCACAAACATTGGATAAAAAAGATCAATCGATAGTAAGCTAAAGGCTAGAAAAATTATAAAATCCACACATTTTTAACATCACATTAATTGTGTATGTCATCATATGACTGTACATTTGTCATGAATCATATGATTTCCTTTCAAGAGAAAAAATTGAATAGTACCGAGTGAAATAAAGTTTTGCGAAATTGATTAGATCAAGGAAATAAAAAAATTGATTATAAAAGGAATAATAATTCGTCTCCAAAACAAAAAAGAAATTCGATAATTAAATCTGTAAACTTTTAATTAAAAAATAAGAAATAAAGTGAGTGTGTGAACAAACAATTGATCTAATTAAGAATATATTTGATGTTTAACAATCTAAACGATTCAGTACTTGGTTATTTGCAAGCAAAAAAATATTTAAACTTCCGATATTCTCTATAGTACTGTGAATAAAAAACTTAAGCAAAACTATGCTTTAGTATGCATCATTACTCATATATATATACTTAGCTAGTAAGTCCTAAAAAGACATGGAAAGCTTAATGATTAACTTTATGATGTCAAGTTACTACAATCATTTCGCACTTCACAAACATAATCAGAAATTCAATATAACTCTCAATTCTTACATTTTGAAGATTCTTAACATAATGGATTTCTTGTAACATCACAAACAATTTGTACATAGAAAAAAGCCAACAGATACCATTAATGTTTCCATGTTTATAACTATTTTCAACGCTTTTTAAAATGACACTACTCCAATAACATTATGACGGAAACAATAGACCGTTATTTTCTAAGCCTTAACACTTATCCTTGGATATTTTTATATCATCAAACTAGACAAATTCAAAGAGATATTTGATTAGGAAATCGGCAAAACATAAACTAATAACAAAGTCTAGTCATTTTTTTAATTATCGACATGATATCATAGTTTGTCAGTAAACACACACACACAAGCATACTTAAAATAAAGTACCATTAAAAGAAATAATATACGTACATATACATGTAGTAACGCATGCCATGTACATATTGTACGAAGATCGATTTGAATACAGTCAAATAAAAAAATTCAAACTATTTTACCATTCAGTAATCATATAGTGTGAGAATTGAAAGTAACCGATAATTTGGTTCGTTAGTTATTTTCGAACTAAGTAAATAATCGAAAGGACGTTATAAAGAGTGTACCAACTAACAATCAAGTCTTACAATCTACCTTACATTTATTAATAGTTTGATTAAAATTGTATTATCCAACAGTTATGAGGATTTTAGAATTCATCAACAAGAAGTATCGTCAGTTTTCAGGTAGTAATTATCTTTTTACATACACTAAATCAAATTATTTAACATTGCAGACAAATGCAATACTAAAGAGTTTGATATGGTTCTTATTTAGAATTAGATCACTTCCTTATGATCACATACATTGAACTTTTCTGTAAAAAGAACATAATTATATTATAGCCTGGCTAGTATCAATTCAATATTAATCCGAAACCCTATACTTGATTTTCAGTTAAAATTTGTGTGAGAAACAAAATATAGTACCCGTTTGTTTAAACAGATGTAGGGAGGGGATCAGAGTTATAGTTTACACAAGTTCATATGATGAATTACTCTGTCAAATCAAGAGTAAAGCTAACAATTTTTTGGTAGTTTTATGAGGTAAAATGAATACGCAACTGAAAAGTACCTGAAGTGTTGAATTAAAATTTCATTAGAGAAGAAATATTGATGAACTCTCTTGTTCCAAGTATTAAAACAATCTACATGTCATCAGTAAATCACAAAGTTTAAGATGACATTTCTCACAGGCAAAGAGCTCTTTTGTATTGCATGGTGACTTTAATTACTAGGGTAGTCATACGCTAGCTGCACCAAGTAATGACAAATTTTAACCCACCTCTCGTCTTTTTTAGAATTTCATTTAAAATTCTTACAATTTGTGTACTGAACTCACTGCCCCCAAATGCCCTGGTACGGCCGAGAGTGGGAAGAGTCCGCTCTCTCTCTCTCCCTCTCTCTCGAAATGCTCTCACATGGCCACGCGCATGTAGCCTCTGTCAGGGAAGTCCTACTCACTGCCATCACGTGGCATTACGGTTGTTTACGAAAATGAGAGGACGAAAAGCGAATGTCCAGAGCTTTAACCGGACTCCAAACCATTGGTGCACATGGGCTCCAGTATCCTGCGGGAACAAATGGCGTATGAACCAATCATCGGTCACCGGCTACCATGGGACTGCATCTCCTTACGATGCTCCACTACCTTGTGGATCAGATCTTCAGGTCGAAGGCTCGGAATGTGGCCCCCTAAGAAAACCACCTGCTTCGGTTTGGGCACCCGGGCAGTATCACAGCCCTCACACATATCAAATGAGATGTGTGGCGCATATGTATTTGGTACCTTCTTGTACCAATATCTATGTGTTAAAATAATAATAATAATAATAATAATAACTGAACTCTAGCTTTGTATTGTTCATTGTATAACACAAAGACTAATCACTACAAATTTGTAACAGTCAACTCTAAAGTACTAAAATAAATGTTTGGACCGCCATGAAAACTATGGTAAAGGTAACGATACATAATTTTATTCTAAATAAAATTGATGAAACAATAATATACAATATTTTTGACGCAATGGAACAAAAATGTAATTAAAAACCTGAAATCTAGTTTTAGCTGCTAGGTTGCATGAAATTAAAAGCTCACCTGTTTCGGTGTGTAATTGTGAATATTTATTGCAAATAGTGCAAATAAATAATCTACTACATACTATTGGGATGTGTACTACGGTATAAAGCTACAATATAATTCCTAAAACTGTTTAATTACTGGTCATATTATCTGTTGCAATATTTATGCAGTAAAAAATACAGAACGAATAATGACAATCAGGTCATTTTATATTGTAAATAACGAACTACTAAGTGATACCACTAACTTGCTTTGGAGACTATGAGATGGTAAATCGACAAGCAATCAAACTTAACCTCATTTTATTCACAATAAATTAAACTGCTCGTTTGCTTGTACACTGATAAGTTAAAGAAAGAAAGACTGATACAAGTTTTGTATCCGTTAGACATTCACACGCTAAACTTTAATATAATAAGGATTTCAGGTTATGAATCTTATCATATCCCAATACCAACGGATCTCATAGCAATTTGTAAGTGGAAGTTTAGTGGTCTGTTTAAAAAAGATAAATAAGATTCGAATACTATTTAAGTGCCTTTTTAATTCGATTATACAGCCTACCAAGAGGAGATAATCAGTGTTGATACGAAAAGCTGCGATTTGACATTTTTCATTCAGACTAAAATCTGAGTGTTGGACTATGGGCGAATAACACGGTTTAAAATAGCACTGACACATCAAACACTTATCATAATATAAGCTTACCAAAGTTTTAAAAAGATATAGGGATAAGATATTACTTAACAGAAAACCTTATATGAACAAGAAACATGAGTGTACGGATATTCTGTCATTCATGTTTCTGCAAAAATCCCCGATAATAAGTAACATTTTAGTACGTCTGAATTATCCTAGTACTCAGTAACCGCACGATTTAGTGCACTTCTTTTTTCCATCGTACATTTATCTCATACAAGACTGCTTGTGAGAATTCACCAAAAATGTGAAATATTTAAGCAAATAAACAATCGGATGTCAACATTAGCTTTGCCCTTAAGACAACTTGCCATAATATATGCATTGCCTTATAAGGAAACACAGACCAATGGGTGAAAAATAATCAGAAAAGTTATATCAGGTTAGTAACAGCTAAGGCTCAAGAGATTTTTATAATTATCAAGATAAAAAGAAAACAAATATCAAAAAAAGAATGTTGAACATACCAACACTTGAAATATCTTCTTCATTGATCACCTCACCATTAATATCGACTAATTGCCAGGCTTTCATCATGGTTAGAAGTGACAAATAATTGTTTCTGCAAAATTGAATCAATATATTTTACCTAAAAGCATGATAAATTTAATTATTCGTGTTTATCGAATATAGAAACCAAAATCCAAGTAAATATGTTTGGAAACAGTGCACCTATAACTTAAGCATAGAAAAACGGAAACAAATAGGGTTTGTGCAATAATCCAAGTTACATCAGTGTATCGACAGAAAATCAACAAAGCGAAAAGTAGAAGAGTTCAATTATACCAACCGTTTAAGGATATATGCACCAGATATATCGTTCAAAACCAAAAGTTGAAACCAAAGGATGAAAAGTACGTAACGACCTAGAAGTTAAGATGAAGAGGGGGATAAATAATATATCCATCTGTATTATTACTACTACTGGTACCGAAATTGATTTTAAACCATATCACGTAGCATTTCTAACTATATATTACGACTATTACAAAACTTCCAACGACAAAGCCTGCGTTAACAACATGACGCAGCCTAATAGTCAGTGATTATGTAGATTGATCGCACGTATAGATCTGGTCAACCTACTATGTAGGAGAGTACTCCAAGACAAAGTGGGTGGTAGACAACCGTGCAGCTCGAATTTTACAGCTTTGGTTTGTAGTTGGTTATGGCTTCGAAGGTTAACGACAGGTCGGTTCTTAATTTTTGAACGCACATTTACAAGACATTTCCAAATAATGAAAGTATCGAGTGACCAACATAGAATAGAGGACTATCTTTGTGGCAGAAGACAGAACGTATGAATACATTAGATGTAATTGAAACAAATACATATTTAACAAAATAATAAAATTCAAGATTGAGAGAACAATAAAGATTAAATGCAGCTGCTCTATTGTGAACGATTTAGAGAAATACTTTTCCAAGTCTCTTTCAGAGACTTAATCTGATTTGAATTAATTGGTTAGGCTGTTGATGGTGTGATGCTCAAAAACTAATTTTAGGCAGGTTTTACAGACTAACATCTGTTATCAATGCATCATACATGGGAAACCACTGCCATGTGGTTTAGGAAGAAATGAATGAAGAGTAGTCGCAAGCCATGACTTGAAGAAGGCAATATAATACAATTTGGCGGATAACTGGGTGTTTCATTTGATGTAATCATTTTGCACAGCCTTCAAATATTTGGGCACAGATATAGTTATGATTATACACTCTACAAACGTGAAACTTTATTGATGGTATTTCAACCACGCACCCAGCCCACATTTCATTCAAGTCTCATAGTACAAAGCTTAAGTATTATGTCCGTAGTAGGACATCTCAACGTCATTTACGAGAAGGGATTTGAGCTCCAAGATACTTTTTTGTGGTGTCGCAGAATACAAAGTGATTCAGTACAATAATTTGAATGCTAAGATTTAAAAACTTCTCCTTTATTTAGAATTATTCGACTGTGATACAGCCGTAATGGGTCTGTAAACCATTATTGCATTAACCCAGGCTGTGCCCACAGTTGTCTTTCTGAGTGGTCAACCACTGGAAAATTCTAACAAAAAAGCGTAACATCTATGATTAATGAGTCCTTTAAGAAGAAAATTAGATAAACATAGAGATATGAGCGATGAGGTTCAAGACAGGCTAATAAACCTTTCATCCACATGGAAAAAGACCAAATGTGCTCTGAAGTAAACTCTTGAAAGGAAAAAATATTATTCACAGAGTTGTGACAAGTATTTTGTGGAATAGTTTGCAGCTTTGACTCCTTATTTATTGGAGATCCCTTGATATCTTCACCAAAGAACGACTGGCACACTCCCTATTGGGAAGATATGCCTTACAGCCAAATAACGGCTATGATGTTATATTCAGGTAAAAAGATTGTAGTAAGAACAAAAACTTCTTTACAAGTGTAGCTAAGTTGAAAACAACTTTATGGAAGATGTCAAGCACCACGACATGAAACAACATGATAAAAAGTTATCTTCTGCTTCATAAAAAAACATTTCTCCGGATCGAAATAATGAGAAGAATTAAAGATGACAGAAATGCATACTTGTTATCATCAAGTTTACATAACCTTATCTTACGAAACTAGAAAAAGAGAAAATCCAATGATAGCAGAAGGAACCTAATGTCTCAGCTTTTGTGTAACATGAATTGGAAACTAGAAAATGCAAGAATGAACTCACAAAGAAAGGTTGTAAATAGGAGACCCTTATGACCTTGAATCAGCTGTACCAAGCTCAAATACGATTGGTCAATATTTTGAAATTATGGCTATGGTAAATTTTAGATGCTACATAAAAACAAACAACAGCATAACAAAGAAATAATCACCGTTTTCAATTTCAAAGTAGTCGTGAGTATTTTTCATAAATTTCGCTCCGTTTTATGTTTTTTGACCAAATTTAGGACTTGACATTATTTTCAAATGTAAAGTCAGAAGTCTTTGTCAGGCATAGACTAGATATTTACGAACAAAGAATTCCTAATTGGCACATTTTTAGTCCTAGCTGTCATGATAAAAAAGATTACTTTCAATATTATCAACAAAGCTGACTTAAGACATCCAGTTAGCAACAGGCGTTGAAATACTAAACGTTTGGAAATGTCAGATGTTTAGGACAACCTACACCAGGTAGACTTAAAAGTTCAACATCAACTTGATATGTACTCTCACTGTGTAAATGTACACTATATATTAACCTGAAAGTCACAGAACAAATCTACCTATGACTCTCACAGGATATTCATAGGTACAGCTGCCCTATTCTGTGTCGTCCGACACCAAATTAACTTTAAAACAGATTGTCTTTCAAAATCGATATAAATCGACCACCCATTTTGTTCTTAAAACACAGCGTCGTTACTGAGGGTTACAGTAAAGATATTTGAGTTAAATTTTAACCTGGCATTGTTAGAACTGTAACTGGATAAATTATTTGAAAAATCCATCCCATGTGTCACATTGGACAGTGCGATTGTTTCCTGATATTTTACCGTAGTACAACTCTGGTCTGAATCCATGAAGACTGTTGCTTATTATTATTGAAATACACATGTCAGAGATCTTCGTATGTAATTATCGAATTAATCCGCTCTAGTGAATAACGGAATTAATTAAGCCAAATATAAGAATGGATTTTGAATGCGTATATTTCATGAACTCACTTTTATGAACAGGCAATCACAGAGACAAAACACAGAAAGGTGGGCGAAGCAGATTGGAGAAGGCAAGTGAGCCAATACTGTCTTATCAGAGAATACTCAATGTTTGTAGCCAGATAAAAGTAAGTCACAGACACGTGAAGAGTAGAGTAGAGTACACCTTTTACTATTCATAGAGGAGCATAGACCACTTACCATCATTTTCCATCCAACTCTGTCCTGAACAACCCTTCCCAGTTGTCTCCAGTTACTATTCATCATTTTGCATGTCTGCCTACGATTCTCAACACTGTGTTGTTCAGCCTTCTACATTTCCGTTTCCCATCATTATCTTAAGTTAGCACTTGCCTAGTGATGCACTTTGGTGATTTCCACAATGTATGTTGTTCAACTGTAGGCATGCCGCCATTGATTTACTAATCCTCACCTTTACGTCTACATCAAGTTCTCATTTTTCATCGACGATGCTGCTTACCAGGTATGTGAAACTTTCCATCACATTCAGAGTTTCTCCATCAAACGTGATTAGGTGCGTGTTCTCTGTGTTACATTTGAGGATCATACTTTTTCGCTCGTAAATGTTGAGGTCTACTGCTTCAAAGGCTGCTGCTACACTGTTTGTCTTCAGCTGCATTTGTTTGTGCGTGTGGGATAAAAGTGGTAGGTTGTCTGCGACGACCAGATCGTTTAGTTGCATCCAACCTGTCCATTATATTCCGTGATTCCCCTCAGATGTCGGTCTTCATAATCCAATCAACCACTAGAAGAAAGAGTGGTAGTAAGCAGCTCTGTCTGACTCCAGTTCTCACTTTGAATGAGTCTGTCAGCTGTCCTCTGTGCACGACTCTGCAGTGTTGTCCGTAGCATGGATTCCGTATGATGTTGACGATTTCCTCAGCTACTCACATCACAGTGCCTAGAAGGTTCCGTAAGGTTCTCCTGTGCACTCTGTCAAACGCCTTCTCATAGTCGAGGAAGTTGAAGTATAGTGATGAATTCCACTCAATTGGTTGTTCAACGATGATCCATCGTGTCGCGATTTGGTCTGTGCACGACCGGTCCTTGCGGAATCCGGTCGAAGCTGAGTGTCTACTGAATCTTTCAGCCGGCTCAATAACACTCTGTTGAAAACGTCTCCTTCTACCGATAATAGTGTGATGCTTTTGTAGTTTTCACATTTGCTCAGATCTCCTTTCTTTCATATCTTGATGAGGTATCCTTCTTTCCAGTCTGTCAGTATCACTTGTTCGTCCTCCAAAATCTTCCCGAATAAAATTTGGAATACCTCAGCTTTTGTTCCTATGTGTGACTTCAGCGCTTCGGCCGGGATATTTTAAGGTCCGGCCGCTCTCTCACTCTTGATTTGTCTGGTGGTCATCCTGATTTTTCCAATCGTTGGTGGAGTGACATCTAGAGCAATATCTGTAGGTGCCGCTTCGATGTCCAACGGCTTCGATTGAGCTGGCCTATTCAACAGTTACTCGAATTACTCCAACCATCCGTTCCTCTGTTCTTGAATCTCTGTGATTGTTTTTCCTTCTTTGTCCTTGTCCGGTCTCTCTGGTTTACTATATCCCCCTGCTAGTTTCTTCATTGTATCGTATACTTGTTCCATATTCCATTCTCTTGTGGCTTTTTCGTCACTAATTCTTGTACGTGTCTCTCCTTGTCGGATCTAATACTGTTCTTCACTTGCTTGTTTGCTTCACTGTATTCAGCTTGTGCCTTGACTTGCTCTATTCTTATTCTCCTTTCTTTATTGAATCCTGCCTAGGTTTTCCATAGAGATCCATTCTTCATGATGATGCTTCTTGCGGTCTGTAACCTCCTGACACGTTGAGGCTAGTACTTCTTTGATCTCTTACCAGTCACACTTCATAGTATTCTGCTGCTTCTTTCACTAGCTCTTCTTATGCTTGGAACCTGTTGTTGAGAACTATGATGCATTGGCTGAGTTTGTCAGTATGTCGAAGGAAGTCTGAATCGAAACTTTATAGTGCTGTTTCTTCAGTTGCACAATGCTGTTTGTCCAGTTGTCCAATGTTTTTTAGCTTCAGTTTCATGTTGGCAACTGTAGTGGCATTGTGCCCTAACCACACAATCCTCAAAACTGAACACGAGACAACTGGGAAAACAGATGTTCAATACTTAACGCGCAGAAAAACCCAACGATGGAGAAGGCTGGAAGAATGAATAGAGTGAATTCTAATATATCGGACCGCATGGATCGATTTCGCAGGCCTGGTCACTCTTAACTGTTGTGACATAATCTTTTATTAATATTAGGTATATTATTGTATCTCTAGCCTGAGTTTGTTCTCCATCATATATTGGTAATTGTTACGGTCCGATGAGCCAGTGCAGACAATGGTGTGACTTGTATTCAGATCTTATACATTAGGCAGATATATCATGACAAATCCACAATTTTAGGATTATGTCTTATGTTAGAGCAGTACTAATATCATAGTAGACTGTAATTCTGCACAACCACCAGTTGGTGATGATCTGAAGCTATGTTAGATCTTCTCCTGGTTGTCACATCTGCCATTGTCATTCTGATATTTTTTAAATACAAATATGATCAATATGGTTCTGACTAGTGTGATCCAGTGACATCCATGTAGTTTTGTGCATGCATTTGTGTGGGAATATTCTGCTACCTGCAACCAATTTGTTGAATACACATGAATTTGCGAATCTCTCGCCATTCTCGTTCCCTTTGCCTTATCCATGTCGTCGCACCATATCTTCATAACCGTCGTCGTCCACTCCGATTTCGGTGTCTAGGTCTCGCATCAGAACGGTAAGATCCTTTCATGGGCACTTCGCTATGATTGACTGCAGCTTCTCGTAGAATTAATCTTCATCGTTGTCATTGCTATAATTGGTGGGTGCAAAACATTGGAAAACATTCATTGTTATTTCCTCCTACTTTGTTCTGTAGGATGCTTTGATGATCCTGGATCCATGAGATTCCCATCACATAAGTGCAATTCGTGCTTCTTTGAACGGTATCAGAACAACTCCCTGAGTGTATGGAACGTTTTCATCTTCATGACCGGGATACAGCAGCATCTCAGCTGTACCTAACCTTTGCTCTCCGGACGTTCTATGTACCTATGAAAATTGTTGTTCTGGTTGTTGGAATGGGAGTCGGATTCGTGAATTCGTAAGAATCTCTGCTTTCATCATGAGGCGTTACAATTCTTCCTGGAAGTTGGAGAACAGAGTTCAGATGGTTTAAATTGTTTGCTCTAGTTAGTGATTTTTAACAAGGTTCTTCTTTATGGGATGAGTTTGCCGACTACACGCTCAACCCTTCTTCTTGACTAGGACTTGGGCCCGGCAGTAGCCGTGAAAGAGCTCGAAGTGGAGTTCTCATATATATGTGTCCGTATTATAAGAACAACCTGTGCTTTAATTCTCCGTGTCATTATTTGTTGTGACAATAAAATTGCTTCTATATTCGCTTGCAACGATTCATTAGCTTTTCTGCTTTGAATCCGCCTGGTATGTCTGTAATTCTGTGGTCCGCACTACCAGGTAATATGTTGTTCAGCTGTTCTGCTGTTCAGCTTGGGTCTAATGCGTGACTCTGATTGCGAGAACTGCCAAGTTATATCTCATTTTTCTTTTCTATTTGACTGGTCCTCCCGGTCTCCAACGTTGTCCGGACGTTCCACGTACCCATATTGACTGTCGTTCTGATTGTGAGAAAAGGTGACAGGCTCGTGACGTCCGAAGAATCTTGGGTTTTATCATGAGGCGTCATTATACTTATTTGAACTCGGAGGACAGGGTTCGCTTGGTTTAAATTGTATATTCTTGTTAGCGTTTTTAGCAACGTTGGTTCCTACGAGATGGGGTTGCCGACTTCTTGCTCAACCCTCCTGCATTTGTAGGCGTCGGACCGTCAGTAACCTTAAATTTGTTACAAACGGAGATATCACATAAAATAGTCAGAATAAATAGGCCAATGTGGTCAATATATGGTTCTATAAGAATGGATAGATTGACTTGTCCGGAAGCTAGAAGAAGCTATGTGGGCCTAACTTAACACATGACGTTACACTCTCTCCCGCGACCGTGCCTTGTCTTTTAACTAGTGTTCAGAATTTATATGACCATTTTTTAAATTTTTCGGCATTTTGTGATCAGACCTCTATAATTGGCCATTGTGTTCATTATTATATTTCATCTTTGAGTGATGTTGTGCCCCAGACAATAGTCTGGTTTGATATTACTAGAGGTTACTGCAAAATCTTTTGTGAATATTTGTGTTATGGTGTGTGGTATCGCCTTCACATACACAAGTTTGTAATTACTTTTTCTCATCCCTTCATCTGTACATCCTGTTAAGTTCTTGATTCTAGCAAAGTTGGTATTGAAGCGGTGAATAAATCCATAAAATAATACGTTCTATATGTCCTGAATAATTAGGTTACTTGGACTTATCCTAGCTGAAGGAGTTCAATCACTCAACATTGCTACATCACAAGTGACAGACATACGACGCAATTGTTAGCCAATTCTTGACACCTCACATACCTTCCAAATTTGTGATTGAACTCTTTCAGTCCTGAATTCTAGCCTGACTGGTTTTAGATTTTTGATTGTAAAAATGTTGTGAAGAAAAGAGTTGCTAAACTCTGAATATCCGTGACATCTTTAACATCGAGCATCGAAGTCGTCAAAATAGTCTTTAGCTCCTTTCAGAGTCTTTTTGACAGGGATTTTTAAGTTATTTTGAACATCTTACTGTAGTAACTTAAGTGATAATATCATTACTTTGAAACTATTTACTGGTCCAATGATCTTGTTAAAGAAACTGTACAATGCATATCATAAGAAATCGCTTTCCTTCAAAAATTTGACAAACATCTTGTTGTTTTTCCAGGTTTTTAACTCGAAATACCTAACTATTTCCCATTACTGACCTGGTATTCAAGAACCAACTGTTACCTTTACTGCCATAAAATAACTAACAGTTTGATGTTGTGAAAGTTGTTGAATGTCGTTGGATGCTAACTCAGTGGCTTAGAGGTTGGGCGCAAGACCGAAAAACCTGGATTCTGATCCTGAGTGAGAGATAATTGATCCTCACTACAGATGAGCCACATACCGGGACGAAACAGCCACCTAGTATTTCCAGGTTTTTAGTGGTGGCTTAACATTGTTCTGATCATGATTTCAACGAAATATGATAATTAGTTATTCATGTCAAATATGTACAGATGTCACATGTGTTAGGAGTTTGGCCACAGCTTTACACATAACGACCCAGTATAATAAAAGGTCAGTGTTTATTTCAATCTCTTTCAGGCTATGGAATGTTCTAGTGGGGTCTCTCAGGGTTCAGTAGTAGAACCTCTTATTTTCTTGGTTTATGTAAACGATCTCCCACAACAGGTATCGTCTGATTTGTTGTTTTTTACTGCTGGCGTGAAGCTTTGGAGAGAGATACGCAACCAAGCGACTAAACTAGCACTTTGGTAAGATCTGACACGAATTCAAAGTTGGGCAGACTACTACGGACTTACCCTTAACACCTTCAAGTGTAAATTTGTTCACCTGAGACATGTTGAAGACCGCGACTAGAGCTTGGATGACACCCGTCTAGAGGTATCTCAAGTTGAAAAAGATCTAGGAGTGTTGGTAGTCTTACGCCAACTGCGACAAAAATGTCATCCGAGCAGACTTTGCACTAGTAACATTAAAGCTCAGTTTTGGTCAGTTTGACGGAAGAGTTTTCCATATAATCTTCATCACTTTTATCCGTCCCCAGTTAGAGTACGGAATCATAGTATTACCTCCCTCATTCCAAAAGGATATGGACACTCCGGCACACATCCAACGATGAGCCACGAAATCATTTCGGGACTCAAACGCAAGCCTTATGAGGAGTGCCTCTAACTACTTAGCATTTACCCGTTAGGGTACAGGCGCCTTCGGGGTGGTGTTTTAGTGGCTTACAGCATCCCAATTACTTCTATACATCCCCATAAACACCTACTTAAGATTAACACCAACACAAACCATAGGGGTAATACCCAGAAACTGGAGGTCAACACAGCAGAACGGACTGCATACATACCTTCTACTCTTTAAGAGTAATCAAATGCTATTAGTCGCTGCCGGCTGAGCTAGTCTACGGGACTTCAAAGTAGTCCTTAGAGAGACAATTTGGCATAATCTTAAAGACTAAGGACAGTATCATACTAAATATACTACTCTTCTTTTTCCTCCTTTTTCCGATAATACTTCTACTTTCCTTCCTGGAGGTATCGGCGATTCACTGCTACTAGATACGAAAGCTCATTAAGCGAAAACTTCTATTCCGTTCAAAACCATTCGACCCATTTGAAACGTAACGCTACAGGGTAGCTTTTGGTTCGAGGGATGGCCACGGCATTTGAAACTGGTAGGACTCTGTATTCGTTTTATTTGATGGAAACAGAATAGAAATACTCGTAAATCCGACCCAATTGCAGATTTTTCTCTGGGTCGTAGTAATGCTAAGTCCATATTGCTATATAGTAATGCATGTAACAAACACATTAGTATTTTTATATTTTATTAGAATAGTGTTTGAAGCTCTTACAAACTCTGTCGTTTAGGAAGAGCGTGATAATATTCAAGTAGGGATCTTAGCATTCGAATGCTAAAAACTGGATAATTTCTTACAAAATGATTATCGTGTGAGAAATTATCCAGTTCATCTCTTAATAATTGCCTCCAACCCTGATACCACTTAAGTTAGATAGTAGCCAGTTGTAAGGAACGTTGTCAAAAGCCAATAGTCTTGGCGATTACTTCAGTCAAAGCATGCCCCCAAATGCTTGTTACTGCCGAGAGTGGGGAGAGTCCGTTCTCCCTCTCGAAATGCTCTCACATGGCCACGCGTATATAGCCTTTGCCAGGGAAGTCCTACTCACTGCCATCACGTGGCAGGGGTGTTGTTTACGAAAATGAGAGGACGAAAGGCGAATGTCCAGCGCTTTAACTGTACTCCAAACCATTGGTGCACATGGGCTCCAGTACCCTGCGGGAACAAATGGCGTATGAACCAATCATCGGTCACCGGCTACCATGGGACTATATCTCCTTACGATGCTCCACTACCTTGTGGATCAGATCTTCAGGTCGAAGGCTCGGAATGTGGCCCCCTAAGAAAACCACTTGCTTCGGTTTGGGCACCCGGGCAGTATCACAGCCCTCACACATATCAAATGAGATGTGTGGCGCATATGTATTTGGTGCCTTCTTGTACCAATACCTATGTGTTAAAATAAATAAAATAAAATCAGTCAAAGCATAAACAACTGTCTTGATGAGTAATAAACGATCAAAACCATAAGTTTAACTCAGCGAGGAAAATTAGCAATGTCCCTTCAAAAAAAAAGTTAGGGAAAATTGGGGCAATGAGGTAAGACTTAAACTTTTTCTTAAGGAGAACTCTAGGTTTATTATCTATCCATTATTATTATTATTATTATTATTATTATTATTATTATTATTATTATTATTATCAACCCATAAAAATGCACATTTCAAATATTTACAGCATCCAATGATTTATACAAATATTTAGGTACCCAGAAATATCACTGATTTTCTATCAAATTTTGCAATCTAACGCTAGGATTATTATCTTTCGGTTGAAAACTTTGTTTTGATAAGATCTACTGAATAACTAGTGTGAAAAGCATGATTAGGCTTCCAATGACTAAGGTAGAATTTATCTGAAAACACGATGTTGTATTTGGCAGAATATGTGGGTTTCACTACAGCACTCGTAGAACCGCTGTCTTTAATCATATGACTTTAATCATATTGTAGAAGTCGGAAGTTTTCCTACACTATGGGTGCCCCATATAATTTGAACCTAACCCCTTGTTTCAAATCTCTTACATACACCATAACATGTCAGAGAAGTTTTGTAGTTATCACCTAGAATCCGAGTGATTTCAACCACCCACCAAAAAGTAAATCTATCATCTTACAAACTGGTTCCCATATTTCCCTTCTTAAACAGAAGCACCCATGACTTTAAGATGCTACATTATTATACCTGAAGAATGTTATGCTGATTATAGAAAGTCGTAAGTAATCATAATAAACGGAAACAACTATCAACTTGTCGATCACATGGAGCTCTGGTGTCACAGCTGGGCGTTCTGTCATAAAATCAAACATTTTCGTATATAATCCAGTAAGAAAAGTGATACTTTCTAGAAAATATCTTGGTTTTTTATGTACAGAATACCGAATATGGAATAACATGTTTCGTACTTCTTAATTGTTTGCTAGAAATGGGTGTATTACCCGAACTATCTAAGGCTGTACAAGAAATGGACTGGATTTTGCCTACCGACATTCAAAGTGAAGCTGTTCCCTTAATTCTCGGTGGAGGTGATGTTTTAATGGCTGCTGAAACCGGAAGTGGAAAAACAGGAGCATTTTGTTTACCTGTGCTTCAAATTGTATATGAAACACTTAAACTTCTCCAATCTAATAAACAGGTATAATTTAATTAAGGTCTCACTCCTCATTAGAACAAAGCTAATATCTTATCAAAACATTCAAGCGGCCAGATGAAACTCAATGTATATGATCGTACCGATGCTATGGCAATTGATACCAATGGGTTGCTTTGTCAAAGTCGCGATCCGGGTGGATGGCACGGAGCTAAAGCAAATCGTGGAGTAAAATGTTCAGGTATTGAATGGGGTGCTTTTATAGTTAATTCAGTGTTTAGTGTTCAAGGTATTTAGTTTTATTAAATAACCAATTGTCCGTTCATATTTCGGAAATAAAAACCCGGTTTCCTTTTCAGGTACCTCCGGAACAACCCTTCCACGGTATGGGCAACCGGAATGTGATAACCGCCCTTGTACCTTTAACAGCAATTAAGATCGCTGTATTCATAATCAATCTCTTTCTTCAATTCCCATTATTCTTTCTACTTCGACTTTCAACTCTAAACTTCCCCTTTTGACTTCCTCCTCAAGTGTCACCATGGCCAACACTGTCGTAGGTCTACTAAAACAGAAACACGCATACAGGATCTTAGTGTGGTCATTCACTCGACCTCACCTCACCAAAGCGGGAAGCTGATGTGACACGCCCTCCGTTTATATGGCGACCCGATGTCTAGTTCTTGTGAACTGGCTGGTGTAGTCATAGCACTGAGTACGAGGGCAGAACAAGCACTATTAGGATGGACCCCCGTTAACAGTCGCCTATGTGCTGTTCGGCTAAATGGATCCGTAAAAACTCGGAAGGATAAGGACATATGTTATCTTTCCACCATTTCTACCTACGCTCCCACTGACTGCAGCCCGAATAAAGTGAAAGATGACTTTTACATGAAGCTTCCTGAACTTCTTCAAAAAGCTAAACACTCAGATATAGCGCTCGTAGCAGGTGACTTTAATGCCAAAGTAGGTAGCTTAAACTAAACAGAAAGATATTTAAGTAGGTATTTTGGTATTCCGGCTCAACGAACAGATAATGGTGACTGTCTGCTGCAACTGTGTTCAATCGTTTAATTTTAGCAAGCATTAATTTTAAGCATAAGGACAGACATAATACAATATGGCGACTCCCTGAACCAAACCAACGATTGACTCAAATAGGCCATATTACCATCATTTATCATTGGATAGGTTCGATAGAAGACTGCCTCTCATTCTGAAGCACATGTTTAGACTCTGATCATGCTCTAATATGAGCACGCATTTGCTCGCTACTCAGTGGACGCGGGAATACCATATTAAGAAGATCCATCGGAATTGAGTGACGAGAAAACCAAAAGTATATTCCAGGAACAACTGAGGTCACACTTAGGCAGTTCCGAAAACGGGACTAACCCTGGTGTTGCTTGGAAAGATATACAAACAACTGTGGAAACAGCAGCGACATCTATTAGTGATTTGAACCAAAGGGTTACAAAAAACCAGTGGATTCCTAATAAGTCTATTGCACTGATAGATTCTCGTAGACACATCCCACCTGGTTCCGAGCACGATAAAGAGCAAAAAAATCAGATCTAGGTTAATCAAAAGTCTAACGAACGATCGTGAGCAGTGGTGGGCAATAAAAGCAAAAGAGATGTCAGTGGTTGTAGGCGACACCAAACAGCTTTTCAGACTAACAAAAGAAACGAATTCAGAAGTCAAGTATGAGATCTCGGAAAAAGACGACACTTATCTGTAAACTGCCCTGACGTTTAGAACAATGAGCGGAACACTTCCAGGGGCAGTTCAACTAGTTTTCAGCTACTTTACAACTACCCACCATTCTTAAACAGCCTGAATAGAACATTGGGGTAGATCCTCCGACTGTAATTAAAGTTCAAAAGCTATAGCTAATCTGAAACAAGGAAGAGCAGCTGGTCCAGATGGATTGGCTCCAGATGTCTTTAACGATGGTCGTTTAGTTTTGGCAATTAGGTTGATCAATATTTTAGCTAAAATCTAGGAACTGAATGTAATCCCATGTTACTAGTCTCAATCACTGAGCAACCCAATATATAAAAAAGGGTCAAAACCATACTGTGATAACCATAGAGGGATTAGTTTGACTAACATAACTTTATCAAAGACCTATTACTGGAAATAACATTCTCGTGGACTGAATTTTCGGGCATTGATCTCCTGCCAGGAGGTCCACTTATCGACTTAAAATACGCAGATGACATAGTCCTGCTTGGTGAAGACTCTGATAAAATGCAGTCTCTTGGTAGCACTGAGCGACAATTCCAGGATGCTCGGGATGCGTTTCTCTCCCTCTAAATGCAAATTATTGTATCAGGAATGGCTTGTCTCAACACCTGAACTAAGAATAGGGAGTAAAGTAGTCGAACGCGTCGACAACTTCACTTATTCTGGAAGTCTGATCAGCCCTAATTGGTTGGTGTCTGACAAAATCTGTGCACGGATTCGAAAAGCTCGTTTGGCTTTTGCCAGCTTACGTGACCTATGGCGAAGGCGAGATATCCGTCTATCAATTAAGGGACCAGTATACTGTGCAGCAGTTCGTTTTGTTCTACTTTACGGCTGCGAAACGTGGCCATTAAGGGTAGAGGATACCAGTAATTTTCTAGTATTTGACCACAGATGTCTTAGAAATATTGCTCGCATATGCTAGGATCACCAGGTAAGTAATAGTAAGGTTAGACTTAGCGTATTGTAGAGTGATGGTAAGTCGGTTGATGAGGTTGTGAATCTTCATCGACTGAGATTTTTGGGCCACGTGTTACGTATGCACAGTACTGAGTAGTGTTGGGGATGGTTGGAAGAAAGTTAGGGGCGGTCAAACCAAAACGTGGTATTAGTCCTTGAAGTCACTGACTTCTGGTTTTAGCCATGTTGGTAGATACAGATTACTTGGTTGGGGTCCGCGTGACTCTCGTAACCAATGGTTCGAAACTCTGGGTGACATGGCTCAGAATCGATCACAATGGCGTAGGTGTATACACTCTTTGTCTTCCCTTAAATTATGAGATTAAAATTACTTTATACTTTCATTCCTGTATTATGTTTTTATACGCAATCTCCGTTTTATATAGTAAGATCATTAAAGTAACTGCTTCTATGAATTTGGTGTTCATCTTGTTTTGCTGATGAGTTGTGACAACTTGTACCGATGCACGTATGTGCCTAGTCCTACATTGTAGCTAACGGACTGACTGAGATCTCATCACACAGTGATCTTTTCAATCATCCTTTCTATGTCATTCTCTGTAAGTAATCCTGTAAATAGAAACTTTGTTTATGTATATTTCATTTTCTGTATATAATTGTCTAAAACTTCAATATGACACAATCAAGAACTCAAATTCGAAGTACGCAGCCTGAAATTCTATTATCATGATATGTTTAAACACAACACAAAATATTTTACTGTGCAGTAAATTTATTGTTTATTCACTACAATAAACCGATGAGACTATAATTTATGGACGAATCAGTCAAATTTGAAATAGCAAGTTTTGGATTTTGGCGCGGAATGCATTCATCCATATGGCTAAGTAGTATTTGGACATCAGGTATGGCAGTTCGTGATGAAAACCATAACTCTAATTCCTAACCCTAAATTCTAACTCTAAATCCCGATTTTGATTTCTCACACTTATAACCCGTAGTATGGTGGTGAATTTTCTCAGGATCACTTCTATGTCTCTCAAAAGCCGTTGATAAATTGTAGTCTCACTCATAATCTTTTCATAATTTCCCGGGTTTTTAATATAACTTCGAATGGCACTAGATTCCCGTAATCTTATTTCATTATTCCTGATAGTGTTGTTCCATCAGAGTTGTCATTCAAAATTTTTAAAGTTAAACGAATTGGCTCAAAGAAACACAAATCCGAAACTTGTTGGCTAAAATGTCTTAAAGTCAGAAGTTCAATATTAAACTGTAGATTCAAAAGCATCACACACAATCTCCTATTCTTCCATGTTCCTAATACCCCTTCTAGTACATATTTTTAGTGATTAACCAGTTATTAATACCCTTATAAATTGTTTAATAATTATTATTTGGTCGCAATTGTCACCACGTTTTTCATCTCTTCATATCTGTATACAAGTATACAAATATTTACTTGTCACATCTCTGGTCAGCGAATTATTTTCATCTTACTAATTCGTCAAGATCTAAATAATCATGATCATTTATTTAACCTCCAGATCTCAGCACAACCTCCTTATGACACTTGAAATCTCTGTACGCTTTGTGACTAAATCTCTTTATTTTTCAGTCTGCTGATATAAATAATTTATTTATCTAAGCGTCTTATTGTGTAATATTTTAACATATAAAGGTCGTTATTACTATGAGGCGCATGTAACTGATGAAGGGCTATGTCGGGTCGGTTGGTCAACTTTGAATGCATCACATGATGTTGGAACTGATGCTGAAAGTTTCGGCTTCGGTGGAACTGGTAAAATGTCTCATCGTCGACAGTTTGATTCGTATGGTGAGGCTTTCGGGAAAGGAGATACTATTGGCTGTTTCTTGGATCTTGATAATGGATCCATAAGTTGGTCAAAAAATGGTCAGTTCACTTGTCTACTATTTCATAATGTTTTTATCCTCCAGTAGCTATGCGGACTTATTGGAGTTTCTAGGTTACTTTTTAAAATTTTGGTTACCAACAAGTTGCCTAATATTACAGATGTTTGACTATGACGATTACCACAAGTGTTACTGTCAGGAACATTTCCCCATATTTTTTACAAAACCAACAGTAATCGAATTATTTACTGCATGGTATTGTAAATCGTTCACATACTGAATTATTTACTCCCGTATTATGTGCTTACATTTCAACGCCTGTTGTGTTTCCAAGCGTTCTGCATAGCTACTGAGGGAGTGTAAGCAGTACTTTGCGATGATATTGAAAACAAGATACTATACTTGCGGCTTTAAAAAAAGGAATCCTTCAACTTTCTAATATAGTTTGATAGACTTCCATCAACTATTCTATTAGTTACTTAGAGTTATTCTGAATTACAGTGTGCTTCAAAACATCAGTAACTTGCGTTTCATTACGGCCACACACTAAGTTGTATATCTAAAGTCAATGTTTCACATTGAAATATAGAAAATTGATTCAATTATTCTGGAGGGTCTCCTGAGGTGTTCCACAGTTTTACTTTGTACCTGCCCAATATATAAGCTAAGCTATGGTAATGGTTCATTACATTTCCATATTAGCTAGTTGATTACCAGTATGGGCTTTTCAGAAACCTGGTACTTTCGTAACATGTTTGGCTACGATTACGTTATTTTTTGTTTCGAATTTTTCCACGATAACCATGAATAAGTTTGCGGAATATCACTTCTAGAGATCGATGGATATGAAATTATCGTACTTAATGATGTTACTCTTCATAGATATGATCTCTCATTTGAGCAACCACCTTTTAAGGAGCCCTTTATTCTCATTCAGAACAACCGGACAGTATCTCTTGTTTCCAACTAGTCAGCACACCTCGAAGTGGATCAAATGGTTCTTCATAAGCTTACTAAATTGCATTAAATTAGCGTCTTTCACCCATCTGAAACACTTTTGTAGGTGATTACTTAATGTACTTAATACTAGGTTATAATTCTCTCCTATTACAACCCAGCTATTCCTATTGCTTAGTATTCTCAGACACCAATTCACTCGACAAGTCCCCAAACCAGAACATGGTTGAACAGGAAAGAGATTATATTTTAAATAACAAGGTTAGATGAAAGTAAGAAGCACAATAGGAAAAACCTTAGTATATTTATAGTTTTTACATGAAAAGATTTCTAGAGTATTCTCCAAGTATCAACTAGCGCTGACTGGGCAAGAATTAGCCAATCAACGTGCACAGAAGCAATCGTGCATTGAGCATGCTTTAATCCAGTCTATGTCCCGCTATCACACTACGTACTACAAATTTGATGACAATATACTTAACAGTCGATCTAAACTAATTGTTCCCCATTTCAATAAATACTCATTCTTCAGCATTCTACTTTACGTTTTAGAGATTGAATTACATCATATATCTTCAACAAATAACGTAATTCAGGTACAGGAGATTACGATTTTACACAGTAGATACTCAGAAATATTCTTCATAAAGTTTTTAACAATTTGTAGTATGCTAAATTACTAGCTCATACTTTTTATTCCTTTCGAACGATTAGGTCATTGTTATCTGTTTGAAATTAATATCTATGCCATTTCATATTCATTTGTTTTCTTTTGTAAATTTCAATAACGACATATCGTTCCTATGGAAACCTCCAACACTGCTTTTACAGTTAATTTTACTGTAAAAAGAATTGGTTGAATCTCTATGAGTGTGAAGATACCTCTAAATATGCATCAAGAAAAACTTATGATTATTCGGTTTACTGAATATGATTATTAATCGTTAGAATACGTGTACCGATAACGTTTCTGTGCAGCTTAAAATGAATTTCAGAAAATAATTTCATAAATTTTATGTATACTATTTCAGGTTCATAATCATATACTTTTACCCTAGAACCGAAGTAATTCTTGTAAGTCGCGCTAATCGAGTACCATTTAAATTTAGTTTCCTTCATTCATGAACCCTGATTAGCTCATAATTTTGAAATGACCATTCAATGTAAATATATTCGTGGATTAAATAAAAATCTAATATTATCAGTTACAATTTCTCTCAGCTTATTTTATCACTTTTTTTGCATGGATTACCGTTTCTTTTTGACCAGGTAAAATATTTGGAAAAGCGTATGACATCCCAGCTCCCTTACGTTCTAAAGGATTGTTCCCATCAGTGTGTTTAAAAAATGCTGAGTTAAGATTTAATTTCGGGGATATTGCATTTGATTTCCCACCACCAAATGGTTGGATAGGTATCAGTTCTTGTCCAGAAACAAACTATGTTGAAACTACTTTTACAGGCAAGTCTTTCACGGTTCATTTTTACTGTCTGTACTTACTCCATAGTTTTTCACAGGTATTTTGGTGTGAAATGCGTGGATCGAATTATTAAAACATTTAAAAATCAAAACATATCTGATACTGAGGTCAAGAAGGATTTGTCTAAAAGTATAATAAAATAACTCAACTTATTATTAGTTATCATATAAAGCTTATTTGCATCACTTTTCTAACTGAAGTCTCCACCTAGATGCTTTGGTCGCGTTTGTCTGTCGATATTACCCAGTCACGCCATGTTAGCTGGAACATTTGTGTTTTGAAGTTGCTTCATATAGATCAGGCCTCTTGGAGAACGGTAGGATCGGTAATAGCAAACCTCAGTTATGAAGTAGCAGTGCCAGTAAAGTGTCTTTCATAAATGACAAATATATGTCTTCCACATACGAAAAACAACTCAGAAAAGGTCAGTCCTCAAACTAGTGACTTTCTTCTTGTCCCTCTAACTGTAGCTCATGAAATTAAGGATGCTTTTGCTAGAAAGATTTTTGGTCCCAAGTAGAAAACTAAGCTCTTAGACTCAGTAAGTTTAACGTATGATTCAAACACTTGAGAAGGTAGATCAACGCAAACTGAAATGTACTTCGACCAAACCTTGCTCATCCTTGTCCAGCTAATAGACATTGGTGATCTCCTTTTGTAACTGCTGAACTTACCGTTTATTCCTTGTAAGCAATCAGCCTTAAGAATAAAAAAGGGATAATTCACGTAGAAACTCACAACACCAACTGAACAATGAATACAAGTAGACTGTTACCATCAACCGTCTATAAAAAGGTTCTATTAAAGAATCTCTCATTCTGGAGCACTTGATTATCTTGATCTTCAACCTCTTTCCAATGCGCCAGATTTCGAGAAAACAAAAGAAGCCCATTAATTCATTAAAAGAAGGAATGAAGACGTTTCAGAGGAAATTTTCTTTTCGATTATATCATTTACTAAAGCTATACAATCGTTTTCATGGATAAATTTTCTAACGTAATAGTCTATCGTAAAATAGAGTGTTACAAAATTATCAAAAATAGTCAACCTCATTCAAGTATCGTCAAATTTACTCAATTTCGCTTCTTAATATCTTAGTCATCTGCCGAATAAAAGAAGCAGAACATCTGTTTTAGCTTTCATTGGTTTAACGTACTTTAAATCTTTGGACTTATAGTGTTAACTTAATGGCCGGTTTTAACATTTACTGATAAGCAGTACAATTGTACTTATTATTAAAAATGTTCTTTTTATTTTCAGCTACTTCATCTGGCTCAGTCTATAAGTCTAAACCAAATGCCCCACTGGCTTTGATTATTGAAGTAAGTTATTTTCAATGTTCGCAGAAAATTTATTTGATCTATTTTACAGCTCTTCCCCTGATCGTAATTAACTCACTGGTCCTCATTTCTATGTGAATCAGTGGTAAAATATTTGAGCTATTTAGTATATTTTGTTTTCATTTCATTTCTTCTAAATGCACATCTTACTGTTTATATTAAACAGAAAATAATTTTCCCTTTGTTTTTTAACCAGTCAGTTAGTCAGCTGCAACGTAGGACCAGGCACATATATGCATCGGTCCAAGTTGCCATACCGCATTAGCATAACAAGATGAACACCGGATTCATAGAAGTAGTTAATTCATTGGTGGTAATATATAAAAGAAAGATTGTGTATAAGGAGATAGTACAGGAAGAAAGAATTAGTTCCTAGAAAGAAAGATTTGAAGTGATTTTAATCTCTTAGTTTAAAGGAAGACAGAGAGTGTATACACCGACGCCATTGTGATCGATTCTGAGCCATGTCACCAAGAGTCTCCAACCATTGGTTACGATAGTCACGCGGACCCCAACCAGGCAGTCTGCATCTACCAACATGGCTCAGACCAGAAGTTAGTGACTTCAAGCACTGATGCCACGTTTTGGTTTGGCCGCCCCTAACTTTCTTCCAATCATCCCTAACACCGGTTAGCATTGCGCGTCGTGGTAATCGGTGTTCAGGCATGCGCAACACGTGGCCCAACCATCTCAGTCGATGAAGATTCATAACCTCATCAACTGATTTACCATCATTCCCTAATACCCTGCGTCTAACCTCACTATTACTTACCCGGTGATCCCAGCAGATGCGAGCAATATTTCTAAGGCACCTGTGGTCAAATACTAGTAACTTATGAATATCTTCTACTCTTAAAGGCCATGTTTCACAGCCGTATAGTAGAACGGAACGAACTGCCGCGCAGTATACTCGTCCCTTAATTGATAGACGGATATCTCGCCTTCGCCATAGATGACGTAAGTTGGCAAAGGCCAAACGAGCTTTTCTAATCCGTGCAGAGGTTTCGTCAGACACCAACCAATTAGGGCTGATCAGACTTCCAAAATAAGTGAAGTTGTCAACGCGTTCGACTACTTCACCCCCTATCCTTAGTTCAGGTGTTGACGCAGACCAGTCCTGAAGCAACAACTTGCATTTGGAGGGAGAGAAGCACATCCCAAACATTCTGGCATTGTTGCTCAGTGCTACCAAAAGACTCTGCATTTCATCAACGTCTTCACCAAACAGGACTGTCATCTGCGTATTCTAAGTCAATAAGTGGACCTCCTGGTAGGAGATCAATACCTGAGAATTCAGTCGATGAGAGCGTTGTTTCCATCAGTAGATCTATGATGAAGTTAAACAAAAATGGAGAAAGTGGACAGCCTTGACGGACACCACTTGAGGTTGCAAAAGCGGATGACAGTTCGCCATAAGCTCTGACTCGACTAGTAGTGTTCGAGTAAAGAGCCTTCACAATGTTTATGTACTTCTGAGGTACGCCTTTCAATGACAGACACTACCACAGAACCTCTCGGTCAACAGAGTCAAACGCTGCTTTTAAATCAAGGAAGACCATTATTGTCGGACGCCGATAAGTATGCATGTGTTCTAGAACCTGACGAATGGTGAATATGTGGTCGATGCAGCCACGACCAAGTCTGAAGCCAGCCTGATTTTCACGTGTTTGCAGCTCACGAGTCTTAGTTAGGCGTCCGAAAATTATCGAAGCTAGTATTTTAGATATTATATTTGTTAAACTAATCCCTCTGTGGTTGTCACAGGCTGATTTTGACCCTTTCTTAAATATTGGGACGATAAGTGATTGTGACCAGTTAGATGGGATGACATCTAACTCCCAGATTTTAGCTAAAATATTAGTCAAACTAATCGCTAAAACTAGACCACCATCCTTAAAGACCTCTGGGGCCAATCCATCTGGACCAGCTGCCCTTCCTCGTTTCAGATTAGCTATAGCCTTTTGAACTTCAGCTAGAGTTGGGGGACCTACTTCAATGTTCCATTCAGGCTGTCTGGGAATAGAGGCTAGTTGTAGAGTAGCTGAATGCCAACTGAACTGCTCCTTAAAGTGTTCCGCCCATCGTTCTAAACGTTTGGACTGGGAGCAGATGAGATTGTCGTCTTTTTCTGAAATAGTCTGACTTACACTTGATTTATTAATTCCAGTATATTTTATTAGTCTGTAGAGTTGTCTTGTGTTCCCTATAGCCGCCGCCTTTTCCATCTCTTTTGCTTTCGTTGCCCACCACTGCTCACGATCGTCCCTTAGACTTTTGCTTAACCTAGATCTGATTTGTTTACGCTCTTCATCGTGTTCAGAACCTGATGGGATGAGTTTACGAGAATCTATCAGTGTAATAGACCTTTAAGAAATCCATTGGTTCTTTGTAACCCTGTGGTTTAAATCACTAGTAGATGTCACAGCTGCTTGTATGTCTTTCCAAGCAACATCGGGGTCAGCCTCGTTTTCAGAACTACCTAAGTGTGACCTCAGTTGTTCCTGGAACCTACTTTTGGCTTTCTCATTACTCAATTCGGTTCTAATGAGTCTTTTTTGTGTGGCTCTTTTGCGTCCAGTGAGGCGCAAGCAGATGCGTGCTCGTATTAGGGCATGGTCAGAGTCCAAGCAGGTACTCCAGAATGAGCGACAATCTCCTATCAAGCCTCTCCAACGATGACTGATGGCAATATGGCCTATTTGAGTTCATCGTTGGTTTGGTGCAGAGGGTCTTCATGTTAGACGATGTCTCTCCTTATGCTTGAAATTTGTGTTTGCTAAAAACAAACGATTGTCTGAGCAACGTTGCAGCAGACGATCACCATTATCTGTTCACTGTGCCGGAATATTAAAATACCCACCTAAATGTCTTTCTGTTTCGTTTAAGCTACCTACCTGGGCATTAAAGTCGCCTGCTACGAGTACTATGTCTGAACGTTTAGCTTTCTGAAGAAGTTCAGAAAGTTTTCTGTAAAATTCATCTTTCACTTCATCCGAGCTGCAGTCAGTCGGAGCGTAGGCAGAAACGACGAAAAGGCAACGACGTGTGTCCCTGTCCTTCCGAGTTTTTACCAAGCCGTTTAGCCGAACAGCGCATAACGAATGTTGACGGGGATCCACTCTAATAGCGCTTGTTCCGCCCTTATGCTTAGTGCTATGCCTACACCTGCAAGTCCACGAGAACTAGCCATCGGGTCGCCAGATACACGGAGGGTGTATCTCGTCGGTACTCCGTTTTGCCGAGGTGAGGTCAAGTGAATGACCACACTAGGATCCTGTATGCGTGTTTCGGAGACACAGCATACATCAATCGTACGAGATTCTAAGGTTTTAGCCAAGGAAGCCTGCTGACCGATTTGGCATAGTGTGCGTACGTTGAAGGCTCCAATGTGTAGTTTGGAGCGAGGTTTCAGTAGACATGTGACAGTGTTTCGCGCACTAGAATCGTTGGCTGTGCTGACACTTGAGGAGGAAGCCGAAAGAGGGAATTTAGGTTTGAAAGTCAATGTAAGAGGAATAATAGGAATTGAAGAGTTAGGTTGATTATGAATACAGTGGTCTTGAGTGCTGTTAGAGGTATGAGGGCGGTTATCACTTCCCGGTTGCCCACACCGTGGAAGGGTTCTGCTGGAGGTACCTGAAAAGGAAATTGGATTATAGGTGGTCATAGTGACCTAAGAGCGTGACCGCAGTGCCCAAGGGACAGCTGCTTGAGGTCGGTCACACACGACCTTTTTATGAGTAATTTTTGTGTTAGTTCCGTACTTGTTGAGACCTTACCGCCAGAGACGGATATCCGTGGGACAAGGCGAGGTGTGCATTTTTAGGGTCGACCTTTTCTAACCCCACCCCTCCTTTTGGGAAGGCAGAATCTCTATTATGCTGGTTGTCTGAAGGAAACACCTTACTGCTGTCACACCTCTGTACAGTCAGCAGTACGACTTCGCCTTCGGACCTTGGTTTTGTTGCTTTTAGTCTTACCGCTCTTCAACCGACCTGTCTGGCATGGTAGGACCTTGAGGAACGGTTGTTCCAGCCAGTATAGCTCAGTTGCTTCATCACGATAGGCAAGCCCGACCACCACGTCAAGGTAACAACAACGGTCAGGTGTTTTTTAACAATCTCTAGTAATGTCTTGTACGACGTTAGGAGCCGGGTTTTCTTAATGCTGTCAAGAAAATTGCAACGCACCGATAAATTCTAACTCGATACAACTATCTTCCATACCATTGGGCCACACTGTGAACTGATTATCTCTTCGTTTCTTCCAGGTAGTTCCAGTACCACAAAACTGCTTGGTATGGAAATCGCTTAAACTTCTTGTGTCAAACATTTCAAAGTCGTTAATTTAGGGAAGCTTCACAAATTTAATAGAGATCGGAGAGACAACTTGCTTGATGAATAAATACTTCACAAGTGTCACTCTTTAGCGGATAAATCTGACGAACAGTCGTATGCAACAGTTTAAAAGTGTCTCAGAAAATACGACGATTATTTGTATGACATATATTTAACATGTCTAACCATCTGACTAAGAGTCGAGGCACAATTTATGCATCCATTTTCCGATTAAAATATTACGTAGTCTCAGTTTCATCTATTTATTTTAATCAATTTATCCATTTCTGTGATCAGAATATTGATTCCATTCATGAAAAAAATCGAAACTATATTCAAGCATGATTTATCTAATCATTCCTGAATAGATCATCACAACAGTATCATATATTACTCAGACGTGCATCGACCACTTTCCATTAGCATTTAAGAGGCTCCTCAAGTACATGAAGTAGTCCACCATTTTCAGTCATGGATTTTTCACGCACTTGTGTAATACAATTCGTATCATATGTGTCAGTGACGTATGCGATAGTAGAAGAAAACACTTTTTCTCATATTCAAGAGTAACATCATTTTGTTGTTTGCGGATCTATGAAAACTTCACAGATTTCCCTTCACAATAGTTTGTAGGATACCGTCCATAAACACGTTTGAGAAATGACATAGTTGATCATTACACGTGGTTATAAAGGCTCTTGAGAGTAATAAAACCAACTTAATAGAGTTTTGCTTTTCCATTTGAAATATTCCTGAATTGTTCAATCTATCCTATTTATTTTCTAATACCTTTTTTAAACCCATTCACCGTTTAACTTTCAACTGTCCACTATAATGATCAGTTTTTTTAATCCTTTTTTCCGGGTTATTGTTGATAGCAGATACAATGTTTGTCGTAAATAACCTACACATGAAATATTTGAATGTTTTTCTCTACTGGACTTGTTTTGTAAGTTACTTATGTTATCCCTACAGCCTTCTCGTGAACTAGCAGAACAAACTTATGAACAAATTAAAAAATTTAAACGTTATTTAAAAGATCCACGTCCTCGTGAGTGCTTGTTAATTGGTGGTGCCAACAGTAAACAACAAATGGATGAATTACATTCTGGGGTAAGTTCCTGATCACTAAGGGTTTGTCAATGATTACTAATAAATATATGTCAAAAAATTATATCTATGTATGTAATATTAATTTTTTCCTTAGTACAAGTAAACTTTATCACACATAATTGTACACGGGAGTTATTTTATGTTAGTCATGTGAGTTACTCAAACGTTTACTGATAAATTTATCTCTAATCAAATCTAACTTGTACTACAACGAGAAAAATGGTTTGATAAACTAATACTTCAGTAACTCAGGTAACGAGGCTAAAAATTTACTCTTGGAACCTAGCTGACAATCTTCACTGAATATATATTTAAGGATAAACTGTTGACTAATGGATTGATACAATGTGAACCATTATTTTCGTGCAAAACATTCAATCAAAATAATATGACTGAATAGAGATGATTAATTAAGAATGAAAAGTGGTCACAATTTAACCATTAATCCCTCACTTCTTTCCATTTGTAAAACCCTTATTATGTTTCTATTTTATCAACGCTTATCGACTTTTTTGTTTTCTTTTATTCGTTTAAGCTAATCAAGTTAATATACGTATTTTTTGTCCTACTGTTGTCACTGATTTTCTAACGTTTCATCTCAGGTTGATATTGTTGTGGCTACTCCCGGACGCTTGGATGATCTTATTTCGACACAGTCTCTTCTGTTAAGCAACTGTCGTTTTTTTGTCTTGGATGAATGTGATGGTCTTCTGTCTGCTGGTTATGGAGATATGGTTTCTCGAATACACAAACAAATACCTAAGGCTACTGCTGATGGAAATCGTTTACAAATGATTGTTTGTTCGGCGACTCTTCATTCCATGGATGTTAAACGATTAGCTGTAAGTCAATCTCTTTAGTTCCTTGAAGGTGACTTGTTAACTTACCGAGAAGCTCCCTATTCTTCATGCCTGTAACTTAGATATTACTTCTTCCTAACATTCTATGCGAACAGTTATGTGGTAATTTGTGTTCGACCGTTTGTACAATATTTTACAAGAGAATTTTAACTACTCATAAGTAGTTTGAATTCTTTGAGTCGTTCATCAAAATTTTAGCTAATTGGTCTTTTCAGAATTTATTTTTTAAAGCTACTTTCAGAGGCTTGGTATTTCATAGTTTTGTTCGTAATCTCTGATGGAAAAATTGTAGTGATCGGAAGGAATTCAGCATAACTTTCATTCATTAATTCATTGTCAGTTTAGTGATCTCTAATTAACTGTAACATCATTTTTTAGTATTTTATACTTAAGCGTGTTATTTTACTACAGAAAAAGCCCGTTTATCTGGCTAGTGGTCTTTTTCTTGATCTAATCCCATCTGAGGGCTTGGATCAATAAGTTGGTACTGTCGGCAGCCATTACTCAACCACATCGTATCATGGCATTCTATTTATCAATCAATGATTCATCTATTCACTTAACAATCAGTAAACATTCTTTATTGAAAATGAAATCATCCTCACGTCATAGGCTTCAAAAGATGTTCTCATGTTTAGTAGGAACACAAAGCATTTTGGTGCTCAACTTCCTTACTCTGGAACAAGAAGCGTACATATATCGTGGGGTCGAGAGCTAAAATTCCGGAAATTTATGTTAAATTCTGGTTTTAGCCAATTGTTTCTGATATTTTATTTCACTGAAAAATCCTCATCTACCAGCTTTTATATATCACTTAATTTCATACGGAAAATAGTTTGTGGAACTTGTTGGATACGTACATGCTCATCCCAAGGTTAAGCTATTTTCGAAACCTTTTCTCTATCCCTTTTTAACTTATAACTACCCAGTTATTATTGTAAATTAATAACCAAACTCATATTTATGTTTTTGGCGTTCAGTTAAACTTTCTTTGATTCACCCAAGTATGTAAATTGAAAGACCATAACTGCACCGCACAATTTGAGAGTTGAATACTTTAATCACTGCATTATTAATGTGTCTATCTAATGAAGTCATAAATAAACTATATAAAAATGTAGCGGAATTTTAGACAATTAAAATAGTCTTGAAAAAATACTGAGATTTTTGTCATTGATTTATTTTGTGTTCACTCTTCTTCCTTGCTAATCAGATTAAGTTGTCTTCTCGCAAATAAAGAAATCTCTTACTTCAAGTATTAATTTCTATTCCTTATTACCTCATTTTGTTTGAACTTTAGAATAAATTGATGCATTTTCCTGTATGGATAGATTTAAAAGGTCAAGATAGTGTCCCAGAAACGGTACATCATGTGGTAAGTTTACACTACTTTGTATTTCTTATTTTAAGTACTATTGAATCACGATATATTTTTATGGTTATTTTGTTTGTATCAGTGAATAATTCCAATCGTAACTAATATTTTCATCCCAAAACGAATCACATTGAATTTTAGTTGTTTTCTAAAATAATCACATTAGTTTGATATGTTATTTTACGGTATATTGCTAATAAATCATCTTACAGAACCACTGATAGTATAATTACATCAAGTGAACAGTTGGATATTTTGATAATACAAGCAGTCTTTGTAATTCCCAACTTTATCGACTGATAAGCATAGATAACTCCTTGCTTCACATTATCACAAATTTAACCATTGACTCGCGAGGAGCGGGCTGGTTTTCGTCCTGATCAAGGACTGATCATAGCTTCACCAAATATTAGAACATTGTCATACTTATTACAGGCTAATGAAGGTAGTATTATTTGACACCGAGGTCACCGTTGATTCGTTGGACAGGACTTTTCTCTGAAATTGTCTATTGAAGAAGGATTGTGCCTGAGAAGTTTGTTAACACTTTCAGTCCCCTATATACAAGAAAATTGGGGAAAGTGAGGACATAATGTTGTATGTACTACTTATGTCTACATAAGTAGTATATAACACCAGTCAGGAATAGAATGCCTAGCAGCAGGAGATTAAGAAGATATATGAGGAGAGAACGGGAACAGAAAGTAACTGGTATGGAAATGAAGAGACAATGAAGTCTGCCACAATTAATGAACATTTCACAAATAAATATTGGAGTGTGGTTTTTCTATTTTACCAAGTAACCCTGTAATTTTGTCCTCACCTGTGTTTTCCTTCATTATAATACAACCACCTCTCTCTATTAATCCATTCAAGCAGTGGGGTTAGACAGGGTTGCCCGATCTCACCATTCTTCAACTTTGCTATTGATGACGTTCTAAAAACAGCTCTGATGGATACAAGTAATAGCAGTGTGGATCTGTTGCCTGGAGAAAGACTTCTCGACCTTGAGTATGCGGATGATATTGTCTTACTGTGCGATGATGCCTAAGCCATGCAATCCGCACTTAATCAGTTGACAGTTAGTGTCTGTAGGTATAGCATGTGCTTTGCACTTTCTAAGTGCTAATTCCTGACCGTTGTTGTTACCTTGACGTGGTGGTCGGGCTTGCCTATCGTGATGAAGCAACTGAGCTATACTGGCTGGAACAACCGTTCCTCAAGGTCCTACCATGCCAGACAGGTCGGTTGAAGAGCGGTAAGACTAAAAGCAACAAAACCAAGGTCCGAAGGCGAAGTCGTACTGCTGACTGTACAGAGGTGTGACAGCAGTAAGGTGTTTCCTTCAGACAACCAGCATAATAGAGATTCTGCCTTCCCAAAAGGAGGGGTGGGGTTAGAAAAGGTCGACCCTAAAAATGCACACCTCGCCTTGTCCCACGGATATCCGTCTCTGGCGGTAAGGTCTCAACAAGTACGGAACTAACACAAAAATTACTCATAAAAAGGTCGTGTGTGACCGACCTCAAGCAGCTGTCCCTTGGGCACTGCGGTCACGCTCTTAGGTCACTATGACCACCTATAATCCAATTTCCTTTTCAGGTACCTCCAGCAGAACCCTTCCACGGTGTGGGCAACCGGGAAGTGATAACCGCCCTCATACCTCTAACAGCACTCAAGACCACTGTATTCATAATCAACCTAACTCTTCAATTCCTATTATTCCTCTTACATTGACTTTCAAACCTAAATTCCCTCTTTCGGCTTCCTCCTCAAGTGTCAGCACAGCCAACGATTCTAGTGCGCGAAACACTGTCACATGTCTACTGAAACCTCGCTCCAAACTACACATTGGAGCCTTCAACGTACGCACACTATGCCAAATCGGTCAGCAGGCTTCCTTGGCTAAAACCTTAGAATCTCGTACGATTGATGTATGCTGTGTCTCCGAAACACGCATACAGGATCCTAGTGTGGTCATTCACTTGACCTCACCTCGGCAAAACGGAGTACCGACGAGATACACCCTCCGTGTATCTGGCGACCCGATGGCTAGTTCTCGTGGACTTGCAGGTGTAGGCATAGCACTAAGCATAAGGGCGGAACAAGCGCTATTAGAGTGGATCCCCGTCAACATTCGTTATGCGCTGTTCGGCTAAACGGCTTGGTAAAAACTCGGAAGGACAGGGACACACGTCGTTGCCTTTTCGTCGTTTCTGCCTACGCTCCGACTGACTGCAGCTCGGATGAAGTGAAAGATGAATTTTACAGAAAGCTTTCTGAACTTCTTCAGAAAGCTAAACGTTCAGACATAGTACTCGTAGCAGGCGACTTTAATGCCCAGGTAGGTAGCTTAAACGAAACAGAAAGACATTTAGGTGGGTATTTTAATATTCCGGCACAGTGAACAGATAATGGTGATCGTCTGCTGCAACGTTGCTCAGACAATCGTTTGTTTTTAGCAAACACAAATTTCAAGCATAAGGAGAGACATCGTCTAACATGAAGACCCTCTGCACCAAACCAACGATGAACTCAAATAGGCCATATTGCCATCAGTCATCGTTGGAGAGGCTTGATAGGAGATTGTCGCTCATTCTGGAGTACCTGCTTGGACTCTGACCATGCCCTAATACGAGCACGCATCTGCTTGCGCCTCACTGGACGCAAAAGAGCCACACAAAAAAGACTCATTAGAACCGAATTGAGTAATGAGAAAGCCAAAAGTAGGTTCCAGGAACAACTGAGGTCACACTTAGGTAGTTCTGAAAACGAGGCTGACCCCGATGTTGCTTGGAAAGACATACAAGCAGCTGTGACATCTACTAGTGATTTAAACCACAGGGTTACAAAGAACCAATGGATTTCTTAAAGGTCTATTACACTGATAGATTCTCGTAAACTCATCCCATCAGGTTCTGAACACGATGAAGAGCGTAAACAAACAACCAGCATAATAGAGATTCTGCCTTCCCAAAAGGAGGGGTGGGGTTAGAAAAGGTCGACCCTAAAAATGCACACCTCGCCTTGTCCCACGGATATCCGTCTCTGGCGGTAAGGTCTCAACAAGTACGGAACTAACACAAAAATTACTCATAAAAAGGTCGTGTGTGACCGACCTCAAGCAGCTGTCCCTTGGGCACTGCGGTCACGCTCTTAGGTCACTATGACCACCTATAATCCAATTTCCTTTTCAGGTACCTCCAGCAGAACCCTTCCACGGTGTGGGCAACCGGGAAGTGATAACCGCCCTCATACCTCTAACAGCACTCAAGACCACTGTATTCATAATCATATTCTGAAGTGTTAATTACTTTTATATGACGAGCAGGACCTGCACTCATTCTTAGTAGTAAGTAGAAAAATGTAGTCGAAAAGTTCTTGTATCTGGGTAGCTGCATAAGCGCTGGTGGTGGCGTCGGTGATGAGACCAATTCACGTATAGTGAATGCCAGAGCGGGTCATGCCGATCTGGTTCATCTTTGGAGTCTTCATGATGTCAATCTGATTGTAAAAGGTAGTATTTACAACGCGTTGGTGAAAGCAGTTATGTTCTATGCTCGTGAAACCTGGCATCTCTGAGTTGATGGTGTTGGACGACTCTTCGTGTTTTGTCATCGTTGTATCTGTAGGATTGCTGAAATTCAGTGGTAACACGACTTTAGTAATGCAGAGTTTTGGCAACATGTACTCGGATACGGTGGTGATAATTCAATTGTTTCCACCATCTTGAAACATGAACCTCAGTGACTTGGACATGTATTACGAATTTCGTCCCAGCAAATCCCACATCATGCATTTCCGACTCTGGAACTGGTTAGGAAAAGCAGAGAGGTGGTCACTGAATGACATGTCGTGGTTTAAAAGAAAACTGTACAGGATAGGATTTGTGGATCTTTCATGACTGTTTTGCTGGGATCTTAGAGAGTACTACGTAGTCGCTTGAGATGTTATCTGACACAGCTCATAATAGAAGCAAGTAGCGGTCTTGCCATAACTTTCTTTTACTTTCTTCATATAAGTGAGAGTATTATTTAACTGAAAAAAATTCTTTTTGGTTGTAATTTTCTTAGCTGGGCTGCCACATTCTATTGTTATTATAATTATTTCACTCTCATACACCAATTTTTATTCTTTTTCATCATGCTCACACTTTACAACTTTTCACAACCTTAATTTTATTGTGTGGCGCAAATATATTTTGGTGTCTGCTTGTATCGATTCTTATATGTTCAAATAAATAAATCATCAAAAAGACCAGTTTTATTTATCATTCGCACACCAGTCGATCAAGTCATTCCTCACCATATCATTTACCTGGGAAATTCCGCTAAAATAAATACTCAAATACAAAATTGTGAACAAAATTATATAATCAAATAGTTTCTAATTATTGTAAACGATTTTCAGAAATCGAGTCATCTTCCAAACTTAGAAATAACATCATGAAATTTCCATTTGGGAATAATGGTTAATTTTTATGTACTTACGTAAAAGGTCATTATCGCATTATATAAAACAATGAAAAGAATGCAAGAAAAAGATACCGAATATTGACAAAGTGATATGTAATACACATTAACAACAAATTTTAGTCTATGTCAGTCACTCATCGATGTGTGGCCTGGCATAGCTGTACCTCGGCTCAACTTACGTTCCACAAGATATATCATAGTGAAGGTGGTGGTGATTGAAGATAGTTGGCTGTAAATCGTGTTGTTTTGGACTATTCAACATGATGTACCTGTTATATTGAGGGAACTGATGTTCTCTAGCAGATTTGCTCTCTTGCCACCTAACTTCACAGTCAGAGATGTTACCAGTGAGCTATTCGGCTCTTGTAGGACTAGTGAGCGTCAAAAATTGCAAAGTCTATATTCAGGGTTTCCTGTAGACTACCTCCAAACACTGCCACTTTATAACTAACCCAACACAGTCCACGCGATGTCAAGTCACTTTAAGTGCTAGCCACATTGCAACTTGTTCGATAGAATTTATCCAGCATTAAAAAGGACTTGACATATATGACATTGGTTACTACTCAGTAATCAATTAATTGTGCATAGTATATTGTATGTCTGAAATAATATATTAAATACAATAAACAAAGGATACCAGATAAGGAATTAATAGTACAGTTTTCTGTACACATATTTGGTTTGCATCAATCATTTCTTATGTATCCACTGCTGTTTCAAAGCGACATATTCATATAGTTCAGTTTTTTTAAACATCGGTTTTCTATTCTGTATAGTCACTTGTAGTTATTTAATATTCCAGGTTTTATCGTTTCTCTTCAAGTGAATTAATCGTAAAAGTAAAAATGATTAATTATTGTTACAATTGTTACTGAGTAAACATATCATCACTAGCGACAAGCTATCAGATTTTATTTTCATAACTTATGCCAAAAACTTATTGTTCTGTTATAACGCAATCAGACTACGCGCACGAAAATATGACAATACATAGTTTTCATTTTTAATATCATCCCTACACCCATCACCTATCAATTGTAAAACTTCGTTAAAATCCTGAACCGATTTAAGTGAACCCACCATTCGAAACCTAAAAAGCAGTAAACAGCTGTCTCGCCTTAGCGTAGGACTCCACATTCGAGAACTTGGGTCTCACGCTTGAGCGTTCAACCTGTAGACTAGTGAGACCGGTATCTGTTCATTCAGATTTCACGTTGTACTTTTATCAACAGTTCTATACTTTTCTATTATTTGTCTATAGTGTGATTGTACTTTTCAAATGTTTCTAAAATATTGTTGTGATATCGGTAGAATTTCATTGAATAAATCAATAAAACTAAATACTCCACAAAATAACGTCGAATCACCTTTTTTATTTTTTTTCATATAAACCTTTATCTTGTTGTCAGTTTCATACAACTAGACGAGTTTGTCAGATGTACTTATTAACAGGAATAACAAGTCTATTCACTAATAGAATATCATTTGATTGTTTGATGGATAAACATAAGGTCAGAAGTAAGTAGATGTAATACATTTTTTATGGTGAATCACCGATATTCAGTGATGAATAAACTTTAGTTTCATTTCACAATTTATATCGAATATTTAGTTCTTCGGGTTAGGTATACATACATTGCATACACAAACATTAATTTGTATTCAAACCCCAATTTTACACAATTCGCTAAAGTATTCTTCATGTGCATATGATAAACAAAAAGTATGTCTACTCAAATATTACTGTAGATTCCTGGTTAATTCATGCAATTACCTAAACAATTTTTTTCATATTCGATGACATTCTTTGAAAAAGTAATATTTCATTTCATCTTAAATAAATGTTAATTCTTTACATTCAGGTGTGCCTTATTGATCCCAACAATGATACATCGTGGAAAGAATTAATGAAATCAAATAAACATATACAAACAGATGGGGTCCACATGAAAGATCAACTTAATCCTAATTCGAGTACTCCAGGTGAATATTATGTAAAAAGAAGCAGGTTGTATGCTTTTTTTTCTCATTTGAAAAAATGATAGTAAAGTATTAATGTATTTTTACCAGTTAAATTAACTGTACAATGAGGGATAGACAAATTGATTTAATGGGTTGAGGATTAATAATTAAGAGTCAAATGCTTTAATCACTAAATTATTACTTTTCATCAATGACAATTGTAATATTTTCTAGCTCATGATATATTGATTATGTAGATGAAACTGCACTCATTCTTGTTACCCATATAGTACATATCTTATATATCTGTTTTAAATTTCTTTAGTCAAGTTTTTAATCTTTGCAAGTAAAGTAAAATAGTATTCATATTGATTATGTTTTCCTGATTTAGAGGTTTTGTCAGAAGCTGTAAAATTACTAAAAGGCGAGTATGTCATTCGTGCAATTAAACAGCAAAATATGGATCGCGCACTTATTTTCTGTCGTACAAAATTGGACTGTGATAATCTGGAACAGTATTTCATATCAATGGGTGGTGGTAAGTCAATTAAATACCTTTATTTTTTCAAAAACATCAAGCTGGTGTGTTCGGGTTACTAATTAATTTTAACGAAATGCAATATTGAGCGCTAAATTGTTACGCAAAATTTACATATCATCCCACAATGTTGAAGAATTTTAATTGCTTGCTCTTAGTCAGTAAACGGAGTGAATCAATAGGTTGTTTTGGACTTATGTGTATAGTGCTGGTTGGTACTTGTTAGTACGGCGTATCCACAATCTCAAGGTGACTGATGTACTCGGTCGGATTCAAACATATATGCAGTGTCACATTTAAAGACGTTACCACAAAGCTATTTCGGTTGTGATTGTCTTCTCTTGGTAATTTACGAATTTTCATCACTTGTCTAAGAAACTTCACACCACAGTGTACTTTGGTGTTACGTGACTGTCGAAAATTGTTATGAATACGTTATTGAGATATTTCCCGAATATACATCAATTCTATTATCATCCCATAGTAAATATTTGTTATATCACTATCAATGTTTTGCTTGATAGTTTCAAACAAATTGAGCATTAGCTTGATTATTGATTATAGTAAGATGATACATTTGCAATATTTCAATTAGCAGAAATTTGATTTTCTACTCATTATTTTCATTATTAAATATTCATGATAATTAAATTATAATTAACCTGTCTACCTGTGCATACTTCGTAATAAATGGATCCTCCTTATTCATCATTCATTCCAATTCGTATGTATACAAACTAAGTGAATACAACTTATCCTCACTAGTTATCTCTTCTCTTCATGAAAAATCATGTAATATTTCATACATTAGAAATTTGAATCAGCTTACGTAATCTTAATCAAAGTAGAATAAAATAAATTATTTATCTTGTCTGATATCTAGTTTAATGATCTGTGAATTTTAATACTCTAAATAATCGTTATTCATTTCCGCATTATTATAATGTTATAATTCACAAATTTCTTCTTGTCGAAACTTTCAATTGACATACATATATGCACGCTAATTGGCTAGAAATATCTGGAAAAAATTCATCATCCAGCCTTTCTTTACTTACAGAAGTGATGTATAAATAAATCCCGAAAAGGAATGGCATACCAAATAGCTTTGAACTTCTGGTCGGTGTGCACGAGTTTAATATTACCCGTAAACGGCACACTGACTCTAAGAAAATCTTAATAATGCTCTACTTCAACTAAAATGTAAGAACGTTGGGCTAGTGAGATATGCGTGCAATACTTTATTTAACATTATGATGTAATTCAGTGATTGCTTATAATTTGAGAGGAATTTATCGTGTAAAGTACTAGAACTGTTCAAATCACATCCGTATTTAGACATACGACGATAATTAGTCGAAGGATAATATAACAACAAGGTTCATCAAAGGAATTTGAAAGTATGTATATTCACTTCTCGTTTGTCTCTTCCTTGTGGTTCATTACTCGCCATTATTTTGAGGTATAGTAGGCCAATCAGACATCAAGCGCACTATATCGATCGAGATTTGATTCTCTTTTCTAAGGAATGAGTCACACTACTAGTCAGATATACGGTTTACATCTCTAAAGAACATGTTTATATATAACAATTATCTCCCGATTCAATTGTTTGTTAAAAGCATTCTAATCACTTTCTCACTCTGCTGTCTAAAATGCTTGTGTGTATTAGTATCAGAATCGTACATCTCACATGACTTTTCGCAAAACCTTAGTCTTGTAACGTTTCATTTATTCTATGGTGAAGAGAATATTCTAAATTTGTTATCACTACATTCTAACTCGAACTACCATTAACAAATTAAACCATAACTTTCAACCTGAAATCGTGGAGATTTAAATTTTTATTGGAATCACAAACCGATCTAAGTTCGGCCATCATTAAAAACCTGGAAGTACAAACGCCCCTTTCGATCTAGTATGTGAATTCTCAACAGCGCTCATCGGCGAACGCGCATACGGGATTCTAATCCAGGACTTCCTATCATGGTATATTTAGTTTACCAAGTACTCATTTCTAACCAGTTTATCTTCAAAACTATAAAGCAGTTTATGTGTTAGATTATCAGTCTGAAAACTAGCTATATTTTTTCCAGAATTAACCACACCATTCTAAGTAGAAAGTTATGGTGTGAAATTCTTGTATAAAGTGAGAAATATATTCATCATTGAAGTAATCAGTATCAATAAAAGTGTCAGTAATCTGAAAGTTGATTTATAGAGTGGTATGACGGGATTTAAAAGCAAAATTACATTCTTTTACCCATTATAATTTTTGTTCAGCGTTACTTCCGTTTTAATTCCATATGGTGATTATTCAGAGTGGTATTTGTTTTGTTTTCCAGTATGATATTTCACTAGGTATAATATTAATATATTCGAGTGTGATTTTGATCCAAGATACAATATTCTTGTATTAAATTAACATAAACTATGCTCAGCATGATACGCAGGATGTGATTTGTTATAATTCTAAGTATTTTTTCATGTATGTGATTTCATCCTTATTAATAATCAGAATGGGTGTACAGTCATATATATATATATATATATATATATATATATATATATATATATATATATATATATATATATATATATCGAGTGTATTTTCGACTCGGGTCGTCGTGTTTTGGAGTTAATAAGTTTTCACTTGTATCAGTCTTGGTGTTCTTACAAGTAAAGTGTAAAGTGATTCCGACATAACAATTAGAGACGACTAGTCATGATATAAAGCCTACAGTAAGAATGGTAATCAAGGATCTTAGGTAGAATAGATCTTGTATGAGGAAATCTAAGAAAAAGAGGTAGGAACATTTTTACAAATATTACTTAAAGGTTATATATAATGAATTAAAAAAGTTTTAAAAAATTTGGTTTTTGTTTATCATATATGGTAACTAAAGATTCTGGAATGTAAAATGAGTTTAGACCCGTAATACCGAAGTAAGAATTGTGAAGTGAATTTTCTTTATCAGATATATGTTACAGAATACAGAAAGTTACTGAACATCTAAGTTGTCTTTTGCAAGTCATTCTAAGATATAGTTGGAGAAATGATTTACCTATGTGCACTCAAAGAAATTAGTGAACTAGGATAAGTGCTCACTGAAATGGTCGGTTACACGAACATACTCCCCTCCCAATATAAAGGCATATAAGAGGTTGAGTGTGGTTAACTGTCAGTCAGTTATAATCAACGCAAAACTTAGTACCTATGTACAAAATTTTCAAAGCTATTGTAGTTAAACTGAAAATAATATCATCGATAGCAGAAAAGTTTGGGTATTGACATTAAGATTTAATAAAACAGAGTGAATTCGGAAAATAATAAGCATAATAGAATTTTAAAATTCCTAGTCTAAAGGAAGGCAAATAGAGAATGCAGCTTCTCGATTGTAACCGATTTCGAACCATGTCAAACATTAATCACAGTAATCTTTAAGAACTCAAGAGGGTAGTAGGCACCTACCAAAATGAACCATATCAACAATTAATGACGACATAGATTGATGCCGCTTCCTTGTTCAGCTTCCCATAGTTTCCTTTCTCTATGAGTGGACAAAAACGCGTCATCTGAAGCACATTTTAAGTTGAATTCCAGACGATTCTCAAATATATCGTCAACAATATCTTTCTTAAATTCAATTTTCATGGATAGTATATCCTTGGTCGCTGAAAGTTGTTCATTCTGTATATTGCCTCTCAATAAAGTGTAATGGGCATCCATTTTCTTAAAACGCCAGTCTCATAATAGTCTTCGGATTTTAAACAGTTTATCAAATATATTTTCTAGAATACACAAGGGTATAGAATAAATTTATGGATACTTCATTATGTTAAGTTGTTACTTACTCTCCTAATATGTGGTCATCGCCAATTCTATTATTCATTGTTATTTACATATCGATTTGCTTCCTTTGTAACCCCAATAATACACTCATTTTTTTCTAATCTTAGTAAACCGATTTCGTATCTTCAACAAAATTCTTGACACTTTTTCGATAAGTATTCTGTACAGTATTCGATATACTAGTTGTCGTTTTGTCCACTATTAGTATGAAAAACCTTGCATATTATTACATATGCAATAAGTGTAGTTAATTTCCATTAGTGTTAAAGAATCGACTATTGTAGTTGATAGTTCTTTTTATTGCGAACTCCACATTATGGTATGCACCACTAAACTGGTTAAAGCAAACTCAAATTTCACTTCATTCAAGTTCCGGGTAACTCATTTCATCGTAATCTCAGTAGTCCACAAATAAATGATCTAATTATTCCATGATGTTGTATATAGACATCGTCTAATATTATCTAGGATAACCTGTCACTCGTATAGACATTGTTGAACTTACACCAAGCTTTTCAATGCTTATCGTGTCTATTTCTAACTCTGTTAAATAGTGACGAATGTACCGTATACTACGTGTTGTATTTTACACTTAGAATAGTACTACATATGTAGTGATTCCATTTATCTCGATATTTCTTAATTCATTGAACTGTGGAATATGATGAGAATTATTTTCAACAAAGCTGACTTAAAATGTATATGCATCGGAAATATCTTCATTTTATGAAATAAGTTTATTTGACACTGACTTTTCACACTAAATAGCTAATTGTTATCTGTTGATAATTTTTATACACCTAGGACCTAATCGTCGTGATTCACCATTTACTTGCGTTTGTCTTCATAGTGATCGAGCTCCTCCGGAACGTAAAGCAAATTTGCAAAAGTTCAAGGTATTAGTCACTATTTATTTCAACTTGGAAATTGCTGTCAATTATTTAATGCGTTTTCTCGGTAATCGAAAGTATCTGTTAACAAATGATTTTTTATTTTTTCCAGAATGGAGATGTTCATTTTCTTATATGTACAGATGTTGCTGCACGTGGTATCGATATAACTGGTCTCCCATATGGTAAGAGGGTGAATAAATCACATTCATTTTCAAAACTGTTTTTGCTCAATGTTACCGTTTCATATTTGGAAGAATAGTAATTTGGTTAGTGATGTAATTTGACGAAGCATCAACATATCCCGTGATCTGTTGATATGAACTAACAGACAAGATCCCTTACTCATTTCTTTCTTATATCACGGCTACTTATCACGAATTAATTAAATCAACAAATATCGACCATTGAATACTGGCTCAGTGATGTATAGATTAATAGCTTGCAGCGAGACTTCATGGTCACGGGTGTGACCCTCGATGGGGTCATAGATTCGCACCGTTAACGAGTCCCATACGTGAACAAAAACTTATCCAGTACTTTCTAAATGATGGTTTCCTAACTAAAGTCAGCCTATGACGTAAACAATGTAATTGCATCGACAAGTCGATCATTACTGTTCAACAATATTATTTAAAAAGCCTTTTTTTTCTCTTTTGATAAGGTTAGTTAATCTTTAAGGGAATAAGGTAACACAATCTGATAACTTCAAAGAAATTATATCCTGTCACAAACGAGATTGCTATTTGTTATAAAATCCAAACAAAACTTATTTGTTTTGTTTTTGATTATTTGTGTTCAAAACTCACTATTTTGACGATTTCGGACTTTTATTTCCATCGTTAGCTAGTTTTAAGCATGTCACTCCCTTTATTGTGTGCTCATAGTTGCCATAATTTCTTCCCCACTTTGTTTTTTTTTGTAGTAATTAATGTGACATTGCCAGATGAAAAACAAAATTACGTGCATAGAATCGGTCGTGTAGGTCGTGCTGAAAGGTGAAAAGAGAAATGATTTCTCCAATATATATTTGTTGATTGTTTTTTTTCTAAGGATATTATCATTTTATGGTGTCCCCAAAAAATTGACTCATTTTGTGTAGAGTTTCGTTTAGTCTTACGCTTCTTTATCACTGAATTGTGTATGAATATGATAATTGGGTCAAATAATTTTCTATTCACGATTTGTATTCATCGCGTTAACGAGAAACCATTTTAGTGCATTATTTTGTATATTCTCACTTAGGGGATCATCAGCGGTTTATGAAAATAGACATCTTTATTGAGAATGTGTAGCACGAATGTGCAGATTGATGGTGTACTATGTTTGGTGGTCACACTTTTCTACATGCCAAGTTATGAAAATGCTGACTATACAAAAATAAGTGAAGCAAAATATAAACTTTAAAATTAATAATTAACGCTTATGATGAAGTGGACAGCAACTTTGACGATGGTATGCTACGAAGGTTACTAGTCTTTGGATTATTCTCTTCCTTCTTTAATCAGCATTACTTATTTAGGTGTGGTCCCCTAAGGAAACCACTTACTTCGGTTTCGTCACCCGGGCAGTATTCCAGCCCTCACGTAAATCGAATGATTCATGTGGCGCATATCTATTTGGTGCCTCCATGTACCAATGTTTACGTGTTTGAATAAATAAATAAGAAATATTTATTGGGATATTTCTCAAAAACTAACTTGAGTATTAAATTGATTATTTAAGATATACTAGAAATTCTCATATTATGGTTAAGACAACATATATAATCGGACGATATTGTTTAATTGGACATGATAATAATAAGACATGATTCTCACCATATAGTTGATCTACACTTTTTTTACTGTTTCTTATAATTAATATGTAGAGCGTTGATTTAATAATTAAACCACTGATCGCTTCAACTATTAGGTCTTAAAAAATGTGAACCTCATCTCAATTCCTAAAGGTTGATTTGTTCACTATTATTATTGTTATCAACCTATTGATTGGGTAGAGTCATAAGTTTACCCATTCCTGTTTGATTTCATTCTTTTGTATTCAACCTCACTTCATGTTGGATGGTGACATAAAATTAAAGCAACTGTTTCATCAATTTTCCTTCGACATTCCCGTTTCTATTTTATGATTTCCAAACTGCATAACGTGCAGAATTAGTAAATATTTATATAAACTAACCTAATTGCATAATATTTACCCATACACAGTTCAGTGGAAGGACCTTTGTTTAGATAATTAAGTATCAAGCTGTATAAACATATATATTATTAAATTGACTCTACATGGTATACTTTAAATTGTTTCTTGAATTTCTTACTAATTATATCTGAACAGTTGGTTAATACTGATAATGCATTCAGTAGAGTTTAGGGTGAAATTAGCATAGTTCTGTCAACTATTAAATGTTGCCCTAAGTATCATTTACGTAACGTATACTATATTCTATATAACCGGCGGCCTGCTTGAATATCTGGACTACCTGTTCCTGCCATCTGGATATTTCAACAAGTTATCTGTTTTCTTGTTTGTTTTAACACATCATTATGCCTATTAGTCTCACAATCTATTCAGGTGCGTTTGTGAAATGTTTACGACATTTCGCCGTACAAGTTACAAAAGAGCTCAATCAGAGACATCATGGTTACTGGCTATATGAATCGAAAAGGATATAAATTCATCAGATGTCGATTCCCGAACCGCTAACATCTAACTGGCATCCACTCTATATTTATCGCAAAAACTGATCAAGAAAAACTTTGTGCTAAGAATTCTATATTGTACCAAAAATATAATATTGAATAAAGCCACCAATATTAATAATAATAATAATAAATTATTTAGTTTATTTGCAATTGTTTGATGTCGATATTTTTGTTAAAAGCGTGGAATACATTTTATTAGTGTTTAAACACGCTAACTCAAATAAGTTGTTTGAAACATATTAGTGTTTCCTGTCTATATGTTAATCTATATACATTATTGTTTCACCAAACTAAAATATACAGTCAATTTGAGTATTAGCCTATTACGTAACCAAAGTTTCATACACAGTAAATGCTTTAGTGACTTTTTCTTTCCACTGTTCATATACATTTGTCGGTACTTGGAGCGATGCACATATGTACCTGGTCGTACGTTGTAACTGACTGACTGATACATTTGTCGGTGTATATTTTATTAGTTACGAGTTGTACTCTCTAAAATATCTCAATCCATAAATAACAAATTGTGAAGGCTCTTTACTCGAACACTATCGGTCGAGTCAGAACGTGTGGCGAACCGTCATCTGGTTTTGCAACTACAAGCTGTGACCGGCAGTGCTATTCACTATCTCCATTTTTGTTCAAATTCATCATACATCTACTACTGGAAATAACATTCTCGTGGACTGAATTTTCGGGCATTGATCTCCTGCCAGGAGGTCCACTTATCGACTTAAAATACGCAGATGACATAGTCCTGCTTGGTGAAGACTCTGATAAAATGCAGTCTCTTGGTAGCACTGAGCGACAATTCCAGGATGCTCGGGATGCGTTTCTCTCCCTCTAAATGCAAATTATTGTATCAGGAATGGCTTGTCTCAACACCTGAACTAAGAATAGGGAGTAAAGTAGTCGAACGCGTCGACAACTTCACTTATTCTGGAAGTCTGATCAGCCCTAATTGGTTGGTGTCTGACAAAATCTGTGCACGGATTCGAAAAGCTCGTTTGGCTTTTGCCAGCTTACGTGACCTATGGCGAAGGCGAGATATCCGTCTATCAATTAAGGGACCAGTATACTGTGCAGCAGTTCGTTTTGTTCTACTTTACGGCTGCGAAACGTGGCCATTAAGGGTAGAGGATACCAGTAATTTTCTAGTATTTGACCACAGATGTCTTAGAAATATTGCTCGCATATGCTAGGATCACCAGGTAAGTAATAGTAAGGTTAGACTTAGCGTATTGTAGAGTGATGGTAAGTCGGTTGATGAGGTTGTGAATCTTCATCGACTGAGATTTTTGGGCCACGTGTTACGTATGCACAGTACTGAGTAGTGTTGGGGATGGTTGGAAGAAAGTTAGGGGCGGTCAAACCAAAACGTGGTATTAGTCCTTGAAGTCACTGACTTCTGGTTTTAGCCATGTTGGTAGATACAGATTACTTGGTTGGGGTCCGCGTGACTCTCGTAACCAATGGTTCGAAACTCTGGGTGACATGGCTCAGAATCGATCACAATGGCGTAGGTGTATACACTCTTTGTCTTCCCTTAAATTATGAGATTAAAATTACTTTATACTTTCATTCCTGTATTATGTTTTTATACGCAATCTCCGTTTTATATAGTAAGATCATTAAAGTAACTGCTTCTATGAATTTGGTGTTCATCTTGTTTTGCTGATGAGTTGTGACAACTTGTACCGATGCACGTATGTGCCTAGTCCTACGTTGTAGCTGACTGAGTGGTATTCATATTTTTCTTAGAAACCTGTGCTTGTTCGTAGTATCAATTTTTTCCCCATTTTTTATAACATCGAATTGGATTAGGTTACGCGGCACGTTTGAAATAGAAATTGTGCGAAACAGGACCAAAAACAAAACTTCCCAATCGTTCCTAATGAAAATTATTTTATTTAAGAATATGCTTTAGTACATTGATTTTTTTCAATGCACGTCGAATTAATTACTAATCAATAACTGTTCCCAATAGAAATAATAGTTCGCTCTTGATATTTTAGTCCCGATAATCGGGTTTGTTTTATTGATACAGGGACTATTTACTACTCACTCTGTTGATGTTCTATTAGAATAACGAGGCATTGTTACGTTTTGTCTCTGTAAATGAACCTGTTTTTCGTCATTACAACATTGCAAATATTACTTATTTGTGATTTTTAATGTAGAAACTTCTGTTTAACGATTTTGTCTTAAAAACTGATGATTTTTATCTTTAATTTCCTCTTTTAATAACCTTTTTTGTTTTGTAGAATGGGTCTGGCGATCAGTCTAGTTTCAACTGTCAAAGAAAAAGTAAGCACAGTAATCCGTTGTACATGTTAGGTTATGGTAAAAAATCCTCTGCACAAAATTTACAGTTTTTATATAAACTCCACGTCAATAGTGTCCAATTAGAAAAATCTGTTCAAATATATCCTAACAGTATTTAATTACTGTTCATCTTATACTGCAGTAATTTTTCATATTTTGATAATTTTCCTCTCGTATCCCGTAGTTTAGCGTCATAATAGCTTTTTGGCTTTTGACGAAAATGCGCATGAACGTACATCTGGTCATTTGCATACATATTATCACCTCGTCAAAACAGACCACACTATCTTGCTTTCTTATTAACCCTTTGTCAATTAGCCTATCAACTATTGACTATTTATTTATTTATATTTATTTTAACACATAAGTATAGGTACAGGGAGGCACCAAATACATATGCGCCACACAAATCTCAATTGATTTGTGTGAGGGCTGTGATACTGCCCGGGTGCCCAAACCGAAGCAGGTGGTTTTCTTAGGGGGCCACACCCCGAGCCTTTGACCTGAACGTCTGACCCACAAGGCAGTGGAGCATCGTGAGGAGATGCAGTCCCATGGTAGCCGGTGACCAACGATTGGTTCATACGCCATTTGTTCCCGCAGGATACTGGAGCCCATGTACACCATTGGTTTGGCGTCCGGTGAAAGCGCCAGACATTCGCTTTTCGTCCTCTCATTTTTGTAAACAACACCCCCGCCACGAGAAGGCAGTGAGTAGGACTTCCCTGGCAGAGACTATATACGCGTGGCCATGTGAGAGCATTTCGAGAGGGCGAGCGGGCTCTCCCCACTCTCGGCCGTACCAGGGCATTTGGGGGCACTATTGACTATAGCCAGATAGTAATTATAAACAGTTCAGTTAAATAAAACCATAGATCTTACTGCATGGGATTACATGATATTCCGATTGTATATCACAGTGAATATATTTCTGTTATTTTATTACCGATGAAATATGAAATGTAGTTGAGGAATTTTTGTTTTATTAACAGTTGTTTTCTACTATCATTCTTGGATAAAATATTTACCTTATCTTTAATCAAGATATACTTTTCTGTACCAAGTCTACAAGAGGTTCATCGCCTACATTACGATCTTTCCACCATTCATCAACTAATTATAGTCAACCACTCCTAGTTTAATCTATTGTAATGACGTCAATAGTCAGTGTTATCAATCCTCCTGAGCTATATTTTGAATTAGACAAACATATCTACTTGTTTAGAAAATGTGCCCTATCAACGTGCAAAACAAATTAATTTTATTTTTTGATAAATCTCTTTACAAAAGGTATGGTATCACTCTAATTGTTCTACACGTGGTCGTGGCTGTTATAACACTCGTTTGTTAGATCAAGGCGGTTGTTGTACTTGGTACAACGAGCCTAATTTATTAAACGAAATTGAAGAACACTTAGGTGTGACCATCGATACGGTGGACAAAAATTTAACTATACCCGTGAATGCATTTGATGGGAAAGTTGTATATGGTCAGAAATTGAAGAAAAGTAAGCTTTGCTGATAAGAAATATTTATAATATATTGATGTTTCTAGTTAATATTATTCGTATTTTAAACTACCGTAACCTGTTTAGTGAATTGGAAACGATTTTTAGCCATCATTTGTAAAGATTTTATCTACATTGATTGATTTAGCCAATAGGAAACTGACTAACTAGGTTTACGCATACTAATCAATGTAGTCATACCCGACTGAAAAATCTGCTGTTAAATAAATTAAATTGATAAAGTAATTTATTGTTATTGAAGTTATTCGATTATTGACTGTTAAAACAAGTTTATCTTTCAAGTATTTACAAGGTATATTCTGCTTTGCAAATTGTTGTATTATACAATATTGTTAAAACGTGGGTAAACAATTGAGCAAACATTATATAAGAAATTGTGGCGCATATATATTTGGTGCCCCCCTGTACCAATATTTATGTGTTCAAATAAAATAAAATAAATATAAGAAATTACCAATGATTAATTATTACTTTGTTAAAGTTAGGTCAAAAGTTCATAGCTCATTAGTTCGAATGAATTGGACAACCCACTCCTACTAACCGTTTATTGAAGACATCATTTATTCAACTTTCCCTCGACATTCAATACTTTAATTGATATCTTATCCCATTAGCTTACCTTTCAGTCTTGATCGTGTGACTAATAAAATTTGCAATAATATTGTCTTTGAATGAAATAAAAAGGATTATATTCTCTAAATATTTCAGCTCTTCTTAACTCTCTATATATGGATTCATGTTGATTCTCTAAAAGTACGCTTTCACGTTATGTTCTTAAAGTTTCCAAAAGTTGACTTTTGTGCAATATTAACTAGAATCATCTGGAGAACTCCCCGAAACCAGACAAATCGGGTTATCTGTTTTTGGTATAGTTTTGTGACTCCTTAGTAGTATACCCCCTCAAGTTCACCAGGAAGCTAATTAAGTACTTGTAAAACTTACCACAATCATAATATCATTCAGCCATTGTACCTAGATTCATTATTGTGTTGAATTAGAAGTTGTCTGTAGTATAGAGTTTTAAACGTGAATCGAGTTAGTTATGTAAATCCTCCGTGAGTTCTAGCTGTTTCCAAGCTGCCATGAAAACTGTCCTAGATTTTTACCAATTCTTCACAGTCACGTGCATGATTGACAAACTCTAGCTAACACGAAATCTATATACAGGATTAATTACCGGCTACCTTCAATAACCACCTATAGTATATACAATGTCAACTCACTTATATAGTGATCACTTTCCAAACTGATCGATATAGTTAAGTCAGAATTAAAGGACAATAAGTAAAGATGGCACTGGTCACTTACTAGTCAATGTTCAACCAACTGTACATAGATAATTTATTTAACACTCATAATGTTTCCAAAAACGTTTACCCAAAATTATTAATCCCTAATGAATAATTCTCAATATGGGGTCGTGTACGTCGAACGTTTTTGCAAGACTGAATACTCTAGATTCGAGTCCCGCGTGCGAGATCGTGGATGCGCACTTCCCATACTAGGATGAACCGGCCGTTCATTGCTTCCAGCTTCTCATTAGTAGCCTAATATTCTTTGCTAAGTATAACAGAAAACTTTCTACATTACAATCATCATCTATCTATACCAATTTTCCATTTGTTAAGTCTTCTTCACCTATCTCTTCATCAGAATTTACGTTTGTTTCTTTTTTGTTGTCTTTTATCTCACACAGTGGCACCGAAATATGAAAGTCATGTGAATATTTTAGCATCTTCCGTTAAAGAACTGGATAATCTTGAAAAGCGATCACAACAAGATTTTTTGCGTTTACGATATGACGAAGAATTAGCAATATGAAATTATATGGAGTTAATTTCTCATTAATTGAGTTATTGTTACTGTTTTTTTATTTTGCTGAGTTTGTTTACTTCTCCTTCGTAATAACACTACTGATAATAATGATTGTTATTATTATTATTCACTTGTAATTTTGCCAACAAATGAATTAGTGGAATTGGTCTGTTGATATTATACTTAAATACACTGGTTAATTGATATGATATTTTAAATTAACATCTAGGTTGTAATGTGTATGTCTTTCACTTATTGCGCAAGCTCGCCATTTAAAATATAAATTTTGATGTGAATGTTCTGAGTATAACCTAAATAAACAGTTGTTTATTGGATTACTTGTGTATTTCAGGCAATTAACTAAATTTTACTCGAGAAGTAATACTGTTATTCACAGATGTATATCTAATTAGTATGGCTCGTTTAATTGTAATGTCCAGTTTATCAGTTTTTTGTATTTAGACAAATTAGATTGCTCTTTTGAGCTTTGATCTATGAAAACGAACTCCCTATACTTTGATACAGCAGGTGCTGATTTCCATGTACAAATCCACAATTTATTACAAATAAGATATATATTACGACATATTATAATTCATTCAAAATCATATTAACACAGCTGGCTACCTATTTAACACATTTTGTATGATGACTTCCTTTTACTAAATGGTATATCGACATCTTAATGATCATAATATGGGCTTTGAGTACTGATTGTTTTTGTATGGAAACTGAACATCAGATTGTCAACTGTTTCATTTAAGAATAATCTGGTTGAAAAGAACACTCAATCTTCTATTCTTAATTCAAAGCAAGTATCCCCTTTGATATATTTCGACAAAACAACTTCATCTTCTCATTGTTCTATCGGAATTCTTAATTCGATTAAAGGCGGTCTGAGTCAGTTCGCTCTCCATTATTCATATTTTCAGTAGACTAATTTTTCTTAGAAAAGGTGAATAAAATAACTGGTGTTATAGTCTTTTCAAATATTTAGATCACACTATAATTGATAGGTTAACTTGCTGTAGTATAAAATGTTTGAATTTCATTATATGAAATGGTTTATTACATAAACCACTAAAATTAATCATTAATTAGTTAAAATATTTCTAGATAAGTTGTTGTCGCTAAATGTCTACGGGTATTTTTCTGAGTTTATAAAGTGACTACTAAAAACTAACTACATACTTTTATAAATCTTCAAATGTTTTGAATTGATATACGAAATTGGCGCTTAAATATTTTTTTTACCCAATTACGACTTAAGTAACACATTTCCAAAACATATTTTATTATTATTATAAGCTTTATTCAACATTATATTTTTGGTACAATATTGAATTCTCAGCATAAAGTATTTCAACAAGTTTCCTTTTCTTATATCTTGATCGATCCTGACGATAAATATTGAGTGATGGCCAGTTAGATGTTAGGAGTTCGATAATCGACATCTGAATAATGTTCATTCGTTTCAATGCATATTGCAAGCCACCTTATGTCTCTGGTTGTACCTTTTTGTAATCCGTACAGCGAAAGATTGTAAACTTTTCATAAACGCGCCTGAATAGGTTGTGAGCTCAATAGACATAATAATGTGTTAAAACAAACAAAAAAACAGATAACTTGACGAAATATCTAGATGGGAGGAACAGGTAGTCCAGATATTCAAGCAGGCCGCCGATGACATAATTCGAATTAATTATAAATGTCTAGTACAACATTTTTACTGTTCAATTGCTAGAAAACTGACCGAACAATTTAATTATTTTGCAGTAGTGTTTTATTCAATTGATCTTCCAAATGTTATTTTCACTTGTGCATAGTAAACATGGATCATTCTTTCGTAGTTATTAAATTCAAGTTTATTTTTTAAAATTTTTCTTCCAACATTTAATACATTTACTTAATCTGCTATGTCCATAATTTCTATTGCATAAATTAATAGTAGATTTGATTTGTTTTCTTTTAGTTACAATTATAGCAAATGAACTAAAAAAATACCTACTTGAAATTTGTTTGTTTTATTTAGCAATTGATTTTCTAACAGTAACTAAATATTTGTCAAGTGAATTAATACTTTTCATTTAGACACTAATAGTTTGATTCATATTCCGTGTTTATGAAATATTGTTTTAGAAGTAATAGAAATAGTTTTCTGGTAGTTGTATGATATCAAACGAAATTTTTTCTACTAATTATTGTACGGGATTACAGACTTCATGGCTGTTGATATTGAATGTTAGAAACCACTCTTTGAACACCTTATGTGAAATTACTCACAATAAACTGTACTAGTTTAGAGTTATTCTTTTTTGTTGCACTAATCTATATCTAATTGTTTGGGCTTAATGAAAACAACTGAAAGTTGAAAGCTTTAACCTAAGTGAATGAAGTCGTTTTATTAGTTCTCATGCGCTGCGCTTATAACAATAGGTAAAAATTAGTTAATTTAGAATTGTTCGATACTTTGAAGCTGATTTTTGTGCCACTATTATGACTAGATTCCAAATCCTCAGCCTTCAAAAGCTTTTAATTGACCAAGAAATCATATCCTGACACAGGACTCCACTGTTTACTGGATTCACGTGTTAGAGGGAAAAAGTGAACATTCAATAGTCATAATAAATAGCTAGATATTCAATTCTTGAGCTATATACAAGGTATACGCTTCAACAACTTTAAGAAAGAAATAGCATATAGACTTAATATGCTACCACTTGATTCATTGTACATCGTGGAGAATTTAAATCAGTCAACTGTCTCATACCATTTGTATCGTACCTAGTTAACCAACTTGTAAAGTATTTACTGTTTGCAGTTCGCTAGTGTAGAACTTTTATCTGTATTTATCAATTAGATCTGTTCAATAGTTACTCTTTGAATACTATCCTCGAATGAAATAGCTGACACATTTTTCGAAACTATTCGCTTCACTTCCAATGATTTCATCTTTGTATACATCAGATACCTTTCGGTTTAGGCTAATACTCTTTAATACATTCTATTTCGCTAGTGACTTGGAATTTTAAGGCGCTGTTGCGCTTGACAACAAGGTAGCTAACAACCTAGGAAATGTTGTCAATTAAACCCAAATATTGTGAAACAATTCGTTCAAATTTAGACGGAAGTTCTTATTTATCATCCTTCAGTAAGTTAGTCATGTACTAACTTCCTTCTACATCTACTTTTAACCGTTCTCTAATTTCTCGGCAAGCGTTATGGATGCTAACAACATCTGAAATGCCGAGTGAAATGCTTCATTAATCAATAGTTTAACAGCAGCCCTTATCATAATATTCGTTGTATTTTACTGCCCACCTGCCTAGGGAACCTGAAGAAACAGTAAGTCATGGTTTGAAGAAATTTCGAGGCACCAGCTTCAGATAACTATTTTCCGTGCTAAAAACAAATAAATCTAACATTATAATGACTATAATTTTCATTATAACTATCAGAGAGGTGTAGTTGAAATAAATTGTGATTATAAAATTTTTATATTTTACGGGAAGATTAATGAGTTTAACCAATATGAAACCATATATCGAAATCTTGAACTTCTAACAATAGCCTGATTTTATCAAAATTATTAGTGTCTATAATTATCTAAATAGGCTTAAATTAACTATCTAGCCGTTGACTAATTTGAACGCCCTTAGTTATCTGTTAAAAGCAATCAAAACTTAACAATCTCCACAACCCCTATACTGACAAAATATTTTTTTATAGGGATTAGGAACTCGCAATAACTTTGGAATATTATTGGATTTTCAGGAATCAGTTCCACAAAGCTATATTGTTTCTGATTTGTTAAACTTATCTTCTCATTTTGGTCACTAGGATTTCTAACAGGAAATGTAGTCACCCATTGTCTTATGGAGGCTATTCAATTTACTTCTACCCTCTACTCACATTAGTGATACTCAACATTTTCACTTTTTTTCTAGTCCTATTCCTGATCAACAATGTAAACAAGATCTTAAATTTGAATTGCTTCATATGTATTAAAAATGTTTCACTTCCATTAGGAGCATCATTTATGTTAAATATGTTCATACACCTCACTAATATGTATCGGATAGATTACAAGTCTTGAATTGCTCTTAACCTTTTAACATTGTTCATCATGATGTAAATTGACCATATTACAACTTGATCTGTGCGATCTGAACAAAACTAAAGACTAGAAAGTATAGCATTGTTCATGAATTCAGTAATCAGTTGATGTGTTAGCATCTATTCGTTTTATTCATTAATCAGAAATAATAAGGTCATCTATAGTTCGTTACAAAATATTCAATTCAGTGAGATCTATTATTCATAAGACTTATTGCTAAGTTGATAAAACTTTTGCTAATAAAAACATAACTTAGTTAATCAACGCTAAAATTCCAACTGCTCTAATCATATATGACATTTTTCAAACAACCGACCAATAAGTAGTGCATTGTTTTGCCTTCTAAAAAATCTTGTTTACATAGGTCTTTTATTATGTTTCTACTAGATAAATAACACGCTAGCTTCTAACCAACATTTTTCAACTGAATTCTCCAGAGTATAAGAGGAGGGTGTGATTCATATCATGAATGGAAAACTCATTGCTACTTTTGTTTGACTAACAGTCCCTATTGATTATTCCACTTGTTTTATTTTGGTAGATACAAACGTATTTAGTTCAGTGGCAATAATAATACTTTGTGATGATCAACAATTACTTTTTTTTCTCTCATATTATTCCCGTTTATCTATTACACTGAAATATATATATATATATATATATATATATATATATATATATATATATATATATATATATAATTGTAGTCATTTCTAAAAGGAAAAATGAACTAGACAAACCGATCAGTAGTTATAGATACAATAAATAAATCGAATACCTACGTGAGGAGAGAATAGAATATTCATTCACCCCATGGTCGGAGTGGACTACGGTAGTGTGCTTTCAGAGTAAAATAACATTAGTCCCTTGTGTTAGTTGGCAGCGACACCAAATGTACTAAAGGACAACTCAGGCGGGGAAACAAATTTGTCGTTTTGTGCTAAATTACAAGTGACTCAGTAAAACAGGAAAATCACAGATCAAATGCATCATTTGTACAGCTTCCTTGCGTTCTCCTGTACATAATCCACTATTCCTTTAATTCTATTGTTATTAACATTTCTTTCCTGTTCTCTTCATTTCAATATTCTCCTGTCAGGTATTCCACTATTGACTGTGAACTTAACTAGCGTACACCACAACCAATATGTCTATTTAACGGTATTTTAATTAAAATAAACTTAATATGGTCAGAAGTAGTATAAGGGTGTTATGGATTTTGATTTATGCTTATTGTTTTCTGGATATTACATTAATTTTGATAGTTCAGATCATAAGTCAACTGAAGCTAGACCACCATGGAAAACCTGCAAGCACTGGACCGGCTTCAAGAGATATCTCCCCTGGAGTTCTGGTGAGAATCAGTGACCAGTGGAGTTCGACCGAGTCTGTTGTGAGATAGTGCCCCCAAATGCCCTGGTACGGCCGAGAGTGGGGAGAGTCCGCTCTCCCTCTCGAAATGCTCTCACATGGCCACGCGTATATAGTCTCTGCCAGGGAAGTCCTACTCACTGCCTTCTCGTGGCGGGAGTGTTGTTTAAAAAAATGAGAGGACGAAAAGCGAATGGCCGGCGCTTTAACCGGATCCTGCGGGAACGAATGGCGTATGAACCAATCGTTGGTCACCGGCTACCATGGGACTGCATCTCCTTACGATGCTCCACTGCCTTGTGGATCAGACGTTCAGGTCGAAGACTCGGTGTGTGGCCCCCTAAGAAAACCACCTGCTTCGGTTTGGGCACCCGGACAGTATAACAGCCCTCACACAAATCAATTGAGATTTGTGTGGCGCATATTTATTTGGTGCCTCCTAGTACCAATACCTATGTGTTAAAATAAATAAATGTTGTGAGATAGTAACTCACTGAAGATAGTGGTGGATGTGTCGCTTAATTTTGTGGATTAGTTGAAGTTAGACATTAACGCCGTTGGATGCCGGCTTAGTGGTCTAGAGGTTAAGCGTTCGCGTGCGGGGCTGACATGTCCCGGGTTCGAATCTCTCGAGGAGGGATCGTGGACGCGCACTTCTGAGGAGTCCCACAGTCGGACGAAACGGTCGTCCAGTGCTTCCAGGCTTTTTATGGTGGTCTAGCTTCAATTGACTCATGATCTCAACTATCAAAACCATACTTATTAGTTAATTTTTGTCAAGAACTTGATTCGGGAAGACTATAGTTTATGGATGACCTTTGAGCGACACCAAAGTGACCTTGAGGATGTCTACCTACTAACTAAGACTACGGGATGGCTATGAGCCACTGTGAAGAATTAGAATTATGATTTACGGTTGGTGGTTTGAGTTAGGAATCAGATTTACGATTTCCATCACGAACTGATATCAGTTAAAATGCCAGAACGCTATCTAACCAAATGGATGAATAAAGTTTGCTCTAGAATCCAAGACCTATTGTCTTATAACTGGTTGGTTTGTCCATAAATTATAGTCTCTCCCTTGAAGGTTAGATTCAGTGTAACTGATGCTGTACTTACTTATTACTTCTAACAATTTTACAGTTGTCTTTGATCATACTCCATTAAAAGCATTAAACCTATGGATTAGTCGGAACGTGTTAACACTAAATTTGTTATCGGAGGTGGGGCCTGGCTCACACAGTATCAGATTGACATTCAACAGTTCGCTGACATCTCTCTTGGTTTACCGAAATCACTTAGAATTACCCGGATTTAACGTATTTTTGGTACATTTAATTACTTTAAAAGTAATTTTTTCCAGATGAAGCTAAGTGACGTTTGAAAATCTATTCTTTTGAATTATAGTTTGAATTATCAGGTTGCCTTAACATAATGCTTGATGGTTGAGTCTTTGGCTAACCTTTTCTCTCGTTC